AATATATATATGTATATATAATCCTATATAAAGTATATATAAATATACATGGAAAGTCTGTTATATAGAAAGTATATACATATATGGAAAATATATATATCATATATTTATGTATATAAAGAGTATGTGGACTTCAATATATATTTATTTCAATATGTACATAAATATATACTTTACATATATGCTTTATATAGACATTCCATATATATATATATATATATATATATATATATATACTTTCTGTATGTACATAGACTTTCATGCAGAGTACTAATTTTAGAAATAAGCTAAATTTCCTAGTAGTTGTAGATATTGTATTTAACTTATGCATTTAGAAATGGTATTTTAATGTGTTGTCTGTACATACCATTGTATTTACCAAATTGTAAATAATCTCTACTAATTTTTATCAAGTCGGTATTTTGATTCTCATCATACACTAAAGGTATTTTTGTGTTCATATTTCATTATTGCCTTTGGCTACATCATTTAGAAGCTTTCACAGAGGCTGAGGAAAAGGCACTAAATACCAGGTGTGCAGACTCGCTGCAGGATCAGTTTAGACATGCCTCATAGTCTGCCTGTGATACTGCATTCGTTTGCATTGCTATATATACTGGAGCTTAGGAGAGGGTACCGTGATCACAATTTTCCAAATAGTCTATAGTCACTAGTTACTTTCCTGGCAGATTAGAAAGAAGTCACTGAGAGTCAGGATATGCTAGCAGAGGAGCAAGTTTTAACAATTACAATACCTAGGGAATTTGATAGAAGTTGCCCTGTATTTTTGTAGGTATATATTTGGGGATTTAGACCCCAAGAGTTTAGCTCTTGATAAATACTTCAGTAGTTCTTGTGTTCATTTAGATTTTAATTTAGAGCAGCACTTCTCATCCTGTAGGTTATTACCCCTTTATCGGTCAAGTGACCCTTTCACAAGGGTTTCCTTAGACCATTGGAAAACACCGATATTTACATTATGATTCTCGACAGTAGCAAAGTCACAGTTATAAAATAGTAACAAAATAATTTTTATGGTTTGGGATCACAACATCATGAGGAAATATGGGAAAGGGTCGCAGCATTAGGGAAGTTGAGAACCACTGGTTTAAAGAAAATGAGAGGTTAGGAGTAAATCCTAAGTCGATATTTTCCAAATACAGTCATACATATTTCATGTATTTTTCCATTTCCCCATGATAGATGTGAATATCTTCTCATATTTTCATGAGACTGCTCTTCATGTTTTTCTTTTTTGTTATTGTTGTTATATTTGGTTTTCGGGGGGGGTGGTTTCAAGACAAGATTTCTTTGAAGCTTTGGAGCCTGACTTGGAACTAGTTCTGTAGACCAGGCTGACTTCTAACTCAGAGATCCACCTGCCTCTGCCTCCTGAATACTGGGATTAAAGGCATGTGCCACCACCGCCTGGCTATGTTTTTATTTTTCATCATATTATTTATTGAAAAAACATTCTTATTGAAACGCTCACCTTTCTAAATCTAATTTTGTGATTGAAGCTGGTGCCTGTTTTGTGCTTCTCCACTTAGCTGCAGCCCCAGAAAAATTACTATTTTTATAGGGAAACATTTCACAGAAGATATTTTACAAATAAAAACTAAAGTGGTTATTTAACAAGTCTGTCCAAAACTATAAATCTTATCTTCAAATTAATATTTAATGTTTAATACAAGTTTTGAATCATTATTCAAAACTTTTGTTATTCGCACAGTGCTAACCGCTTGTTCTGTTCTTAGAATGCTTGCTGGATAACTATGATGTTATTAGCTTCTATGTATAATAGAATAATATTCTTGTTTAATCCCAGATCTCACTTAACATTTACTTTGAGTAAAGGTTAAGCAGATGATCTCCACTCTGTTAATAATAATACTTGCAACTAACCAAATTGCCCCATATTTTTTCCTTTGTGACATAGTATGCACCTGAGGATATAATCGAGTATGACTATGAGTATGGGGAAACAGACTATAAAGAGATTGAGAGTATAACAGAGATACCCACTGTCATTGAAGAAACAGTAGCCCAAACAGAGGTAAACCCAACTGTGTGTTGTATGTGGTGTCCCACTCTTTGTCATTCCTCAGACTCACCCCACACCTGTCATTCACTTCTGTGAATAAATAATGGATTTTATTTGACAGAGGCTGCCCTGAGGACTGCTGGCTGTTTTTACCTTTGCACTTCTTCCCCTTTGTCCATGCTCTTTGGTTTCTTTCTCATTGCATGTTTTCCATTCCATCTTTCATGACATTTTACAGAAAAAGAAATCCAATTACACAAAGAAGAAGAGGACTTTGGCCACTCACTCAAAGAAAAAATCTAAAAAGCTCACATCCCCCAAACCTGAAAAATACGCATCCAAGAAGAAGAAACGTTACCAAGCTACAGCCAAAGCCAAACTAGGGGTCCAGGTAGCCAGAAAAAGCAATCAAGATCTGTCCTAGATGAGATGGAAGATCTCTGATGAGTCTTAGTCTTAACCTAATTAGACCAATTCCAATTTGGCTAACACTCTAACTCACTTATATCATGGTTTTCACCTACTTGAGGTTACTTTACAAATTTCCTAACCCTCTTTCTTCTCAATTTATCACCAGGCAAATATTGTGGATGATTTTCAGGACTACAACTATGGAACAATGGAAACTTACCAGACAGAGTCTCCTAGGCGCTTATCAGGATCAAATGAGGTAATCCACTTAAGCAGCAATGATCACGGTGTGGCTTTCTAAATATGTAATGTATTTTGATGGATTTCCTTGGAGAAGCATCCCAGCCCTTGAAACTTTTGCGTTGTCATTCTTAGAGAAATGGATTCACTGGTTCATCATTACAAAACACCCTACATTTACAGTGGATGCCATTTCAAGATTTGCATGACACTGTAATTCATGAAAATTCTATAATCATCAAACTGAATTGGCTGCTACCATTTTCTTTATTGCTCCTACAATTGAGCAACCTTTGTAATGTTTTACAAAGAGTATTCACAGCATGATCCTTCCAGGAGAAGAATCCTCTGATGTGAGAATTGTATCAACAACTGATACAATTTGCATTTATTGCATGGGAATAACCATCATTCATTTTGATGCCAGCCAGCATTTTAGCAAATGTGGTCTTAGATTTAATAGTTACTTACATTTTAAACTTTCTTTACAATATTAAAGCTAATTAGGATTAAAATAATATTGTTTAAGCATTCACTGGGTTTCCATGAAAGTGTTACAATGTAGGTAGGTCTAAATAGGCCCTTTTAAATTTCACATTGTATACAAAACATGACATTTTATGCTCATAAAATAACAATCAGCAAAAAATTCAGTTTAGTATTGTTAAATATTTTGCTGCCATTATTTATATTATTATCATCAGTTAAATGAGTACTAGGTAAGTGTAAGTAATTTCATTATTTGAAACACATTTGGCCCGAAAGAATATAATTGTAATACAACACTCTTTATAGTATAAGCATTTAGGGTATGTAAATAGATTTTAACTTCATCTAGACTCACTCAGTCTTGTCTTATGAGATGTTACAACAGCTCAATATGTTGACTTTCTAATCTAAATTCTATTCTATGGTCTATTACTTGAGTGCTAAGAACATAATTGCATCATAGGTGAGATGAAACTTCTTTGCAGAAGCATGTATCCCATATTTAAGAGTAATATTTTATAATTGTTGGACTTTTTTATACCAACTACAGTAATATAACAGTAATGCATAATTTTCTATATTACTCATTATACAGTCCATATTTCTCTACTCTCTGTATTCAGTTTGTCTTTGAGAACAAACTTTAAATGTAGCTCAAAAGGTGACAAGGAAAATTGTTTAATTTTTAACTTGATTACAATCATAAGGCATGATAACGGCACTTCCTTATGTGAACAACATTCTGAATAGGTAATGAAAATATAGTTTTAAGATATTGGTACTAATATTTAACTGAGAGAATAGCTAATTACAAGACTTACTTTTGTAACATATTTTACTGTATTATTCAATATGATGTGAAAACTAAGTAAATATTCAGCTATCTGCTTAATATACTTGTTCAGATCTTATGCTCGAAATAATGTCTGACTAAGGAACAAGTTTTCTTAAGTGTCAGTAAATACACATGTTGCCTTCATGTAAATATTTGCAGTTGATGGGGAAAGGTGCTTTGAAAGAAATATTTTTTTGCACATATAAATGTATGTACAAGTATATTTCTTTCAGTGGTATTGAGCAGCCTTTTCCCAGGCTCTGGTCTTGCTTGATTAGTAAGCTCTCTTCCTGTCACATGCCATTAAGCTGTAGTTACAGATGCTTGCCTTGCTTTGCTAACAGTAAACTTCATGTTCTCCAATTCCCTGCAACTTAAATGAATAGCCAAATCCAGTTGAAGAAGGTTTTACTGAAGAATATCTAACTGGAGAGGATTATGATGTCCAGAGAAACATTTCTGAGGATATTCTATATGGAAACAAAGGAGTAGACGGCAGGGACTCTGATCTGCCAGTAGATGGAGATTTAGGCGAATATGATTTTTATGAATACAAGGAATATGAAGAAAGGACAACAATCTCCCCTAATGAAGAATTTGGCCCAGGTGTTCCAGCAGAAACTGATTTCACAGAAACAAGCGTAAGTCAGTATGATTGATGCGCTGTGCCCTGCACGTGTCTTACCTGGGATGCTTCTGTGTTCATTCTGATGTGTTTTCAGGTTTAAAATGCATTTGCATTCTTATATCATTTGTGGGTACTGACCAAGCCTAGACAAATATGATAGATTCTTCTAGTGGGTACTGTCAGCGATTGTGTCTTGGATTCTCACTGCAGTCTTTGTTTTAACGTACTATAAACTGAATTGTACCCAAATTTCTCATCATTGATAAATTTATATAGCTTTGTCATTATTTTTCTGACTACTAACTCTAATTTTTTAATTTAGACTATTTTCTACACTTGATTTGATGACATTTTTTATGTCTTCGAGCACTTTTGAGTCTACAAATGCATTTAACTTTCTATAATGCAAATTTCAAGAAGCAACATTTTGTTCTTAAACAGTATTCATGTGTATTTGGCAGTATTGAAATCTTTAATGTTTTTTTAATGATCACATATTAAAATGTTGCTTTAAATATATCTAGATGGTTTGTGTCAGAAAATTGAAAAACTGCCTCATCTATTGAAATGTATTTTGACCACTTTTAATTTTTCACTCAATAGATAAATGGCCATGGCACATATGGAGAGAAAGGTCAGAAGGGGGAACCAGCTGTGGTTGAACCTGTAAGTGTGATTAATATGTTTTAAAGATTGCTACAACTGTTTATAAATCATCACCTTAAATCATTTTGAATGTCCTTGCATTTTCAATAAAAATGATGCTATTTCTCATTTAACACAAATAGGTGATCAGGCGATGACTTTAAACAGATTTTTAGTAAAATAAGAAAATTACCTATTTCTGGGGTTTTGGAATTTGAAAATGGCTGACAGGTTTTCCCGTCCAATTCTCTTATTTTGCAAATCTGAGTTTGCATATCTTTCCCCCTTGTTTCAAATATTTAGTGGTTGTAATATAATGAGTTCAGCTCTTTTAACATCAGTCTATGATTTTACTATATAATTTATATGAGTACTTTTATAGAAATGTATTATTTGCCATATGTTGTGATTGGTTTTGTTATTTTAATTTTTTGAGGGGCCTGCCATTCACCTCACAAGTAAATCACACACAGAGGCTTATTCTTAGTTATAACTGAGTGCCTTGCCTTAGCTTGGTTTGTTGCTAGCCAGGTTTTCTTATCTTTGAATTTTCCCATCTATCTTTTCCCTCTCAGCTGTTATCTCTCTTATTTCTGTGTATCTTACTTCCTTTCTTACTCTATGGCTTGCTGTGTGCCAGCCCCTGATGGCCCCCTATCCTTGTTCTCTCCTGCTTCTCTCTTCCTTTCTCCTATTTATCCTCTCTGCCTGCCAGCCACACCTATCCTGCCTCCTGCTGCACTATTGTCCATTCAGCTCCTCATCAGGTGTTTTAGACAGGCACAGTAACACAGCTTCACAGAGTTAAACAAATGCAGCATAAACAAAAGTCACACACCTGAAAATAATATTCTACCAAAATAATAATCAGGCATATATATTTTTTGCATCTGACCCAAATTATATCATACAGTAATAAAACACACTGAATAGGCATGGAATTGAGAGAGAGAGGGAGATTTGTGGAGAGTGAGGTGGACAGCAGTGTTTAAGGAGGGTACTGGTAAGTGTGGTCAGTGTGTATGATGTTATGTGTGAAATTACAAGACCAGAATATTCTCTAAAATCATTATGTTTACTTGCATTTTTATGTGGAGTTTTGTGTATATCACCCCAGATTATTGCTCTGTCTATTTGTATTAGTTCTATAAGTTCTTAAGATATTGTTAAGGGGTACATATTTTCTAGAACCAATTTTAAAAGCCACAATTTTCATTAGCCACTGACTTAGGAAAAGCAATGCATGAGAAATGGGAGTTGGATGTTGTTTAAATGTTCACTTCGGATACATATTATTCTTTCAGGAGCCATAGAGAAATATAGTTTTCTGGAATTAAAGTGTATAGTTACCATTTCCTTTCATTGTTTCATACATCAATGCATCTGTTAAATAGCAAATATTTATCAAGCTCCTGTTTTTATATTTGATATTTTTGTTGTTTTTTATTGTTTTGTTAGAATATCTCAAAATGCTAGGGAAGAGGTTGATTAGGTATCTCTGCTGTACTCTCCACAGAAGTACTTAGAATATTCTTTCTCTGACATCCTATTTCTCCTTCCTAACATTATTTGTCTGAATAATCATCTCAGTTTAAATTAGTCCATAGGTTCTCTAATGTCAATAATTATATCTTCTGTCACTTTAGATGATTTCATTTTCCCATACAAACATTTTTTAGTGGTTTATATACTAGGAACTTAGAATTTAGTTTAAAATTATAAAGTGGAAAGGCTAAAGCTTACATGGATATTTTTGCTTATAGGGGATGCTTGTTGAAGGACCACCTGGGCCAGCAGGACCAGCAGTACGTAAACTTGATTTTTAAAATTATTGAATGTAGGATTCCCATTATGTAGTTGAATTGTTTGTATTTTAGCCTGACTTGATTTATAGAGGAAAACTGTCAAGTTTAGGAGCTGGTAGACTACCTATACATCAATTGTCTATAAAATGATACTATTGACAGGACTGAAAATAAATTTTGAAGTTTTCTTTCTTTATACATTTTCTTTGTGCACATGTTTGTGCCTTGTGAGATATGAAATTTTTGTCATATAAATGTATGACATTGATGGATTTAAGTGATGGCAAAAACAAAATGTTAAAATGCTGACAAGCTAAATGCTTTCTTGTTCAACTTTGCAAGCACATTTTTGAGGTCTGGTCTTATGAATAGCCATTTCTTCAGGAGGAGTTGGGGAGCAGCTTCCACAACAGCAACTTTCATAAACATGCTGTCTTCCTGTTTCCCTTGGCAATTGCCTCCACTCTGAGCACAGCCACATAGAGGAGTAGTTGTGCTGGATACAGAACTGTTTCCTATATGTTGTGTTTACACAGGAAGCTAAATAGGGCAGTTGTTTGGGAGTCAAGGGTATATTTATAACATATAAATGAAGCACCCTTTGAATTTTAGGCGAATTCCTTTACTTGAATACTAATGAGGCAGGAAGTTGCTTCTGATCCTGGTTTGTTTCTCTGCAGGGTCTTATGGGTCCTCCAGGTCAACAAGGCCCTTCTGGGCCCCCCGGTGACCCTGGTGATAGGGTAAGTACAGAAGGGATGTCACATTAAACTGCACAGCACTTGGACTTAAATATAGTTTATTCCTCAACTTAACATGTTACCTTCTTCTCTTGGTGGAGAGGAAGTGAGAATTCTACAAACCGGAGGTGGTGAAGCAATTTACTTAACTTTTCAGACATGTTTAGATGGAGATAAAAAATTTATTAAGAATTTGTAAAGAGTTTATCTGTAACATGATTAGTAAGCCAATTTTGCTGTCAAGTCCCATTTGCACAGGAACACTTAGAGTAGACTCGGTTTTTCAAATTTGATTCAAGATATTTGTTCTTGATATTCCCGTCGATACCCTGTTTTTGAAACCTCATCTGTATAATTTCAGATATTTAATTTGATAGAAATGCTTTTTATTTTTTAATATGTATGTGATTGATGTGTGCATTTATGTATCTGTATCCACATGCTTGTGGGCACATATATATATGCACATGTGTGTCAGCTTGTGTATAGGACTGGCAGATGTTGATGCCAGATGTATTTCTCAATCTCTCTCTATCTTATGTTCTGAAATAGTTTCTCTAATTGAACCCAGAGCTTGCTAGCCAGCTTGACCAAGGGATTCCCTGTCTCTATTTCTTCCAGAATTCTAGAATTACAGGCTAGTAACTCACGTGCCAGTTAGGCATTTGTGTGGGAACTGAATATTTGAACTCAAATCCTCAGATAATAATTTGACTGTATAAAAGTAAGTTTTCTTCTACTGAAAACTTACGCACATATATTTCACAAATATTTATGATCTACCCACACATGAATATATATATATATATATATGTATATGTATACATATATATATTTACATGTTTGATACTAAATGATCCTGTAAAGATATGTTATAAACTAGTGAATTGTATATATATACATATATATATTTATATGTTTGATACTAAATGATCCTGTAAAGATATGTTATAAACTAGTGAATTTTAAACACAATTTTAAGACAAATCAATAATGAAAAAACTTAATGTTAATCTTATCATGTTAGCTTTAGTTATTATGCTAATAAAGTATCTATTTTGAAGATAATACTCAATTTAATATAGCTGGAAAATACACTGAAAATATCTATTTATGTATTGCATAGTTACTGCCTAAATGTCTATTAAGTAATACTTAACCAAATTTTGTCTAATTAATTCTGTTTTTAATTGTTGGAACTGAATACTTTTTCTTCACACTGATACACCTCCAGAATCTGTAAGAAGGCTTCATATGCAATTGTAAGCTGTAAATCAACTTTGAACATAATTGGCATTATACATTGATCATTCACTAGTAACCATGCATTACTTGAGTTCTTTGCAACTAGTACAATGAGATCCGATACTGTCTATGTCTATTTGAATAAAGGAGATTCACTAATTCAGAACGGACAATTCCAAGTTCAGCAATTTCAGACTCCCTGCCATAATATATTGCACTAATTGCTTTTGTTTATTTCCTTTCCCAGGGCCCCCCAGGACGTCCTGGCTTACCAGGGGCTGATGGTCTACCTGGTCCTCCTGGAACCATGTTGATGTTACCAGTACGTTATAGAAAGTGTTTTATTAAGTTATTTTCATTATTGTAATACATTTTTTCATTATATAATATAACTTAAAAAATACTGTAGTTGAATCATTGAATAGAAACATTTCTGAAAGATGGGGATGCAGGAAGTCAAGGGCCCTTGAAAGTAGGTGGAGTTTAATGAGCAGAACTCTGGTAGATAAATATCTATCTCTATGCAAAACCAGTTTCAATTTCTGATTATTCTTCATTTGGTGGAATTTACATAATCTTTCTAATCATGTGGGCAATCCTGGATTATGGATTTACAATAGGTTATTTAACACATTAGTATACAATTTCCCCTAATATTGACTATCACTGAAGCTTTTTGAAGAAGCTAAGTCCTTAATTGTCATCATTACTCAAAAATTATTTATCTTAATATTGAGTCTCCTGTAAAATTAATTATTATTTGCCACACAGCTATGGAAAATGTTTTTATTGGATTTAGTGCAATAAAATTAAAGGAAATAATAATACTCAACATTTTAAGTTAAAAATTAAGGCAGATCTTAATTTTATGGAGTAATAATAGCAAGAAGATGCTTATGGTAGATGAGAGAGACATTTATATTTCTTTTGTCTTCTTGGAGACTCCAAAAGTTTTGGTCACCAGAACAGAACTGTATCTCCAAATTTTACTGAATTTCATGTACTTGAAATTCTTATGGATGAATTGTTAGAGCAGATATTTTGCCATAGACTAAATAAGAAATGATATTTTAAAAAGAGTATCCGGTGTAAAATTTGAAATTGGCAAGTGGTGTATAATTGCTTTGGAAATGACAGAATGTACGATACAGAACTGTGGATGAGGTAGAGGAAGAATTGCACTCTCGCACACATATGTGTTTATATGTCTCAATATGAAGTGACTTTGGTAAATGTCAGCCTTTTAATTAACTTTTAATCTAATGGTTAAAGGACCTAATTCCATAAATTTGTCAAAGGCCAATTCTGAGCTTGCCTTATCCATCCCTAGTTCCGCTATGGGGGTGACAGTTCCAAAGGACCAGTGGTCTCTGCACAGGAAGCTCAAGCTCAGGCGATACTTCAGCAGGCTCGGGTAAGAAAAGATTAACACGTGCTCACATGACTTGATTCTGTATCAAATTGCGGTGTGTAGGTCTGCAGAAAAGTGTTTCTAAACATCACGTGGAATTTAAATGAAAAATTCTAAAAGTATATTAATCCTTCCCGTAGTGATGCTTGCTAATTTAATATTGAATAAAAGACCCTGTATTGCTACATGTAATTCTGACAATATCCCACCAGGACATAAAAAGATCCTGTTTTTAACATAATATCTAGTATTCCTTCTCTTTAACATCCTAATTTTTCTCTGCTAAGATGTGAACGAATGATTACAGCAATAACCACGAGAGCACAGTATGAAAGAAGTATATTCATGAACCCAATAATTCTTTTTTAAAATTAGTTTTGTGGCAGTTAGGTTTTAAATAGAAAAATTCAGACAATAAACAAGGAAGCAAATAGAAGTTATATAGTGTCTTCGCCAACATGCTTCTAGTTATTATCAAGGAAGAAAGTAAGTGTAGGATATTGGATTGTTATGGATATGGTAACTTATTTGTATCATGTCTAAGGGAACTTTTTATTTACCACCATAACTTATATATGTGTAAAATACTGAATATGTAGGTGAAACTATTAATTTGTTTTCAATATTTATGCCCTAAAGACTTATTATTCATCTGAAAAGATTATTATTTGATGATTTGCTGCTTTGATTTTTGTCTGGCTTATTTTCGTGCAGGTTTTTAGCACTCTGTCACATTCATTCTCAGTTCATGTTCTGTCATGTTCAGAAATCACTGCCTCATTGTGTTCATCCACTTTTTCTGTCTCTCACGATCTTCCTGCCTCTTCTGCTCTGGTCCCCGAGATGTGGTATAGATGTCCCATTTACAGCTGAACCCTCTTCAATCCCTCATTCTCTGCACACTGTCCAGTCATGGGTCTCTGTGTTAATCACAAGCTGCAAAAAAGAAGCTCCTTGAATGAGGATTCACTAATGATCACTGATATCCTCACTGCAGTATAATGATGTGTTTATAGTCAGTTTATATGATTAGTCCTCTGTTTTAATTTTTTTATTTAAATAAAAACAATCTTGTTTCATATACCAATCCCAGTTTTCTCTCCCTCCTGTCCTCCTACTCCCCCCATCATCTCCCCACCTCCTCAGAGGTTGAGGGCTCCCATGGGGGAATCATCAAAGTCTGTCACATCATTTGGGGGAGGACTGAGGCCCTCTCCCATATATCTAGGCTGAGAGAGTATCCCTCTGTAGGGAATAGGCTCCAAAAGGTCAGTTCATGCACTGCAGATAAACACTTGTTCTGTTGCCAGTGGTCCCATACACTGCCCAAGACTCCCAACTGACACTCACATTCAGGGGGTCTAGTCAGGCTTATACAGGTTCCCCAGCTGTCAGTATGGAGTCCATGAGCTCCCACTTGCTCAGGAAAGCTGATCTGTGGGTTTCCCCAGCATGGTCTTGACCCCTTTGCTCATCTCTCCACCCTCTCAACAACTGTACTCCAGGAGTTTGGCTCAGTGCTTCTTAGCTATGAATCTCTGCTTTTGCTACCATCAGCTAATGGATGAAGGCTCTATGATGGCATTTAAGGTAGTTATCAATCTCCTTATAGGGGAAGAACATTTAAGGTAGCCTCTCCACTATTGCTTAGATTCTTAGTTGGGGGTCATCCTTATGGATTCCTTGGAATTTCCCTACTGCAAGGTTTCTCAGGATTAGTCCTCTTAACCTGTTTAAAAAGCAGGCAGCAAAATTTTTTAATTGCAATTTTCCAGATTTAATCTAAAAATTAAGAAATATGTTGTCCAAATTCTCATGGTGACTTGGTGGTGGAATTTTGGAGATCTTACTGATTATGTTTCATGCACTATTATTTTATGATTTTTCACATTTTCCATTACAAGATATTTTTTTTGGAAATGCACATTCATATTTCACTCATTCATATCCAAAATAGTACACTAAACTAATTTAACATCTATCAAGTATTTTTCTCTGCTCTGTATTCCAGCTTTCCGAATATCCTAATTTAACATTTCTGTTTCTGAGTCTAACAAAAATGCATCCTTGCAGTCTGTCTTCTCTGTATATGATAAATACATGCATTATGTAGTACTAAGTAGACGAGTCATTAAAATATTTATTACCATAAAACTTTCTGTCCAATTCTGCATGTTACTAGCTCACTTTAGTCATCTTGCCTTTCCTAAAACATTACTAGAAAATTTTAAGTGAAAATATGACTAATTGTTCACCTCAATAAATATCTTCAACAAAGAGTATGCCTGCACAATGAAGATAAAGAATGCTCTAAGTTTTGTGAGTGTGCTTCCTAGTAAAAATTACTAGACATTCTATTATTTTCCCTGAAATGTATTTTGGTGTCTTTTTTAACTGGTTAAAATTTGGCAGGATAGTGTATAAAACCATATAACAGTTTGAAACATGACTGATAATTACACAGGATATTCTATCCACTTGCATTTCACCATTGAGTATACTTTTCCTAGCATGTAGCTATTATACCTTTGTTAGCTGTGTACTACATAAGGATATCATGTCCAAATAACTCTTGTGTTACCATATACTATAGGCAAGTGTTTCTGAACTTGATGTATTTTATCTTTTAGATTGCTCTGAGAGGCCCACCTGGCCCAATGGGTCTAACTGGAAGACCAGGTCCTGTGGTAGGTTACATAAAATATGTGTTAAAAATTTCCTATTAATATGCCTTCCCACATCACATCATCTTCCAGACTGTTTGTACCTAAGGCTAGCAAACCTATTATGCATGACTGATATTGACTCATTTTGAAAGAGTTTTCAGTTTAATTTTAATAATTATAATCAGAAGGTTTTATGAAAACTCTCATCAAATTAGAGAGATTAAAACATATAGTAAAGTCAGTCACATATCTGTTAATCAAACTATATTTAGAAATATGTGCATTCTATTTAATTATTAAAATGTAATTTTACATTAAATCCTGGAAAATTATTTATTAGATTTTTCACTAAAGTGCATTTGAAATCTTTGATAATTATTGTGCAATTTTTTATACTTCATTTTTATTGAAAATAATTTTTCGCTACAATATATTTGATTACAGTTTCTCTTCCTTAACTGTTTTTGAATTTTTTTCATTTTATTTTTTTCATTATTTACGACAATTTTCTCAATTTAAATAGATTTTGTTCATATTCCCCTTCCGTCAGCTGGAAAGAAAGAAATTAAAGTATCTTTTTGCAGATGAAAATCTAGAAAACATAAGTGATACTAAAAACCCCATTAGAAAATTTCTATAGCTAGTAAACACTTTCAAAAAGTATCTGGATGGAAAATTAAACTTGTGCAAAACAGCAGCTCTCCTATATACAAATGACAAATGAACAGAGAAAGAAATAAAGGAAACAATACCTTTCACAATAGCCTCAAATAATATAAAATATATTGAGGCAACTAACCAAGGAAGTGAAAGATGTGTATGTCATTATCTTCAAGTCTTTGAAGAAAGATATTGAAGAAGGTATCAGAAGATAGAAAGATCTCCAATGCTTTATGGGTTGGAAGGATTAACATAGCAAAAATGCCATCAAAACAGACATACTGATCAATAGACACAAATTGAAGATTCAGACATAAATCCACACATCTGTGAACACCGTTTTTTTTTTTATAAAGATACTAGAAATTCACCCAGAAAATAAAGACAACATAGCATATTCAGTATTAAGTATTGTAATTACAATTACATTATAATATCCATCGAGAATATTACTATGCTAGTTAGATTTATTAATAACTTTTATGCATACCTTGTTACAATCCATCCTGATGATTCAAGCCTGCAACTCCAGGTATTTAAGAGGCCATAGTAAGTAGATTGTATGCTCATTTTTTCCTGGGGTTATAGAACAAGGCATGACCAGTTTCAGCTATGTAGGAAGATGCTGTCTCAAAATGAAAGAGTAGAGGAACCTGGAGAGATAGTTCAATGGTTAACTGTTTTTCAAGAATTTCTCAGCTTTTTTTTCTCAGAGCATGTAGGGTTGCAGCAATAGCTCTAGCTTCAGGAGATCTAAATACTACTTCTGACTTCTGGTGCACCTGCTTAGACAAGTACATAAGCACACACAGACATACATGTATAAAGAAAAGTAAAGTGAATATTTCAAACATTGAAAGCATTGATAAGAGCTGCATATAGTGGTCAGACCTTTTGCTTGTCCAGTGTATATGAGGCCCTGTGTCCAATCCCTGTATTATATTACAATCAAAATGAAAGTGCTGTTGTTTTCCGTGATTTTATAATTCCTTTAACTAAGTCTTAGAATTGCATGCTACATATATTTTGATATATACTCCTGTGTTAAATGTTATGGTTACATATTCAATATAAGTTCACTTATATACACTATTGAGCAGATTATCAAATGTTCATTTATTCTTATTTTTAATTCTGCCTTTTAAAACACAAGAAATAAGAAATACAGTAAGCCACTTAACAAATAAATTTTATTGGCATATTAGTGATTCAAATGTATATTCACATCAGGGAAATATAATATTTTACAAAATTTTGAGATAGAAGGGAAGGTAGAAACAACATTCCTGTTCATGATCTTTCCCATCAATTGTGTGATATTTTTGGTTATGTGTAAGAGAATGTAACTACAGTCTTTTGATAAGTAATGCATATATACAGAGGATATAATGAGGTCAATTAATTGAAAATAAATTGACCAATCTATAATTGTATTCAGTTTAATGATTAGTAATAAAATTCAATACAGCATCCTCAATTTTTTAAAGGAAATCAGTTACAAGAGTTCTTTATTAGAAGCTTGGAAGTGATCTCTATAATTTAAAAAATTTTAAAAATGCATTTGACTTGACTGCTCAGCTTTTCTGGGAGGTAGAATAGGAGTTACTTTACCATGAAGCCACCAGGGGGCCCTGGAATGCTGCTTTCAGATTTTGCAATTTTTGCTGTTTGTTGTAACTCAGTTTAGAAGAGTGTATAGTGATCTAAATAAATCAGAAAACACGAGGTAAGCTATTACAGCTATATTAATTTTTTTGCATTCCAAAGCTTTCAGAGAGTATGGATGGCCTAGTATGTTTTCTTAAATTCCACAACTCCTCTATAAAGCAATTTATTTTTTCCCCTCCAGTTAATCTACCAGGTCTTCATTGTACTGTTTAAATTATATGAACATTTGTAACCTTTATTTGCTATAATGATTCATTTTTATGGGGAATAATCAAAACAATACAGGGGAAATATGTTGACATTAATTCACAAAATTATAATGAAAGCAACAGCATCTTTCTCAAAACAGTTTAAGTCTATAAAAGAAATGATTTTGTAAATTCCTTATTGTGTGAATGAACTCAGTATTCATTCGCCTGACTCTGTGACCATACACTGCCAGTTAGAGGGTTACTCACTCCTTGTTTATCAGGCGATGTTTGTTACGGTAAAATCTTTAAAGACAATTTCAGCATGATTTAAAAGTTGGCTTCTGTTCATCTGCGAGTGGAATATGGTGCTTTATGAGCAGTCTCTACATTGGCTTGTACTTGCTATGGCTGGAGGAGGCACACCAGCACAGGACTTCAACAGGCCATTACAGTAGTAAGAGCGAGCTAATTAAGGAAACGTTGATTTATTTTGGTTGAAAGTAGTAAATTAAAGAGTTTAGGTGACATAAATTAATTAGTTTTCTGTCTCACTCTTCTCTTCAGGGGGGTCCTGGTTCAGCTGGAGCCAAAGGTGAGAGTGGGGATCCAGGTCCCCAGGTAAGAAACAATAATTTGTTTTCTTCCCTTATTTTTCATTGTCTATATTTATGTAGTAGAGCAGTTGAAATGTTAAGTGTAAAAAACGCATTTATGTTACCTTTAAGCCCAACGCATGGTTTTAATTGAAAAAAAAAAAAAAAACCCAAGTAGATGGTGGCTTTCTGTTAGTTTGCTAATTAAAGGACTTTAAATTGTGGACTTACCTGATTTGAAATTAGATGGCCCTTCTATGGTGCTGTTGGCTAGAGAAGCAGTTGCAGCTGTGTTAGAAGGTTCTCTCCTCCATTCTGGAGCCTATGATTCTACAGACAGTAAACTTAGCATATTGTCTCATGAAGATCGCTTAATTCTCCATGTAAGCTAATGTTAGACCTTTGTGTATTAGATTGTAAGAAGATACGGATGTAGAGCCATTATATTGACAGGGTATTTATGGTAGAAACAGGAAAGCAAAAACAATGTTATTTCCAAATAGATTCATTTTTTAAAAATAAAAATAGTGCATGATAAAATGAGGAATATAAATTTACCCTGACTTGAGGAGTTCTCATTTCTTTATCCTCTCATTGTTTTCCTTTTTTCGTGTTTATGTAATCATACTTTATTCCTAATATTGTATTTCTATGTCAATTCTATGCATGTATATATTTTGGTGAGATTCACCCTCCATTACCTTCTCTTTCGTCTTTCTAAATAACAGCATTTTCTTAACTAGAATTAGATTTATTTAAAAATGAGAAGGTAAATAGAATCATAGTCTACTATGTACTTTTGTAACTATATTTAAGATAAAAATACTATATAAATCTAAACAATTTTCTTTTAAAATGTTTTATAATGTTTTGTTTTTTTTAAGAATGTCAAATGTGGTATTTCAATCATATTTACTCCCACCTGCTTTTCCTAATATGTCTCATGCCTACCCCCAACCTCCTACATCCCTAGCCTGGTGTCCTCTTTTTATTAATTTATTTCTCTTGAATAAACCATTTACTAGCTTGTGGTGCTTATACACTTATAGGTGTGGAGCCATTCACTGGAATATGGTTGAGCTACAAGGAGCTATACTTTTAAAGAGAACTGACTCTACCTTCCCACAAAGTCCACAATTAAGAGTATTGGTCACTCCATTCTAGAATGTTGAATGATTGATCATGTGCAGGCAACCAAGCTGCCATGGATTTATGAGTGCAACATTCCTATCATGTTCAAAAGACACCAAACAATTTAATATTGCCCCTTTGCACTTAGAACTTTGTTTAACCCACAAGTACCTGGTAACCACTAGTCTATTCTTTATCATGGGTTTTTTCTATTTTCCAGAAAAAATTAAATAAAATTATACCTTATACTCTTTTATTACTTGCTCTTTTGATACAAGAAAAGGTATTCGGGTTCATGATACTTGAGTCCATCAATACTACATTGATTTTCTTGTTGATAAATAATGCATTGTATAGACACTACAACTTCTTGTGACAAAACACAAAGAAAATTGATAACGATATTTAACTAGCTCAAGATGTGTTAGCCTTGTTTTGAATGTTTAGTTTACATTTCTGCAAAGGCATACGCCACCACCGCCATGGCATCTCTGATTTCAAGACCAACCTGGTCTACTGAGTGAATTCCAAGACAGCCAAGGCTACACAGAGAAACCCTTTCTCCAAAATCAAAAAAAAAAAAAAAAAAAAAGGCAAAAAAAAAAACCAAAAAAAAAAAAAAAAAAAAAAAAAAAAAAGGTCAAAAAGCAAGCAAGCAAACAAACAAAAAACATTGCTATGAATGGATGGAAAACACTGAGTTGTTCACTGGGAATTTCAGGAAAATATTAAAATACATTACATAAAAATCTTGGAAGTTTATTGTTTCATAAAATTTTGAGGCAAAATGTGTACTTATCTCTGTTTACAGAATTATGAATCTGAAGTATGAATCTGAAAGCATGCTATGGCAGTGTTTTAGGACATACTGTCTGTATGGATTCTCTAAATCCAAAGAGTTAGATGATTCATAGAAGCACATTCTTCATTAAAGACTATCCTTATTGCACAGCTGGTTACAAGGCTCAGCAGTTAAAAGTATTGCTTTCAGAAGTCCCAGCTTTGATTCCCAGCACCCACATGCCTGCTTACAACCACCTGTATCTTCAGTTCTAGAACACCTGATGCCCTCTGCTGAAGTGTGTAGACCCATGCATATACATGGTGGAAGTCTGAAGGCAGGCTCAGGCATATGCATGATGCACTTACATAGACCCAGGCATCTGCTCATAAAATAAAATTAATTAAGAAAGCAAAACCTAGCACCAATTGTGTTGGTATTCACGCTCTTTCCTTTCTAGCTAGATTCATGATAGACTCCACTCCATCAGTTTTGTTTTTTAAGCTATACTCTTTGACTTCCAGCTATTAGCCAGTCTCATCCTTCCATTCCCAGTTAGAAATGATGCTCTCTGATTTTGGAGATGGTTGGAGAGTGATGCACCCGGTACTGTGCAAAGTTACACAAGGATATACTTGAAACAGATATTATTGAAAACCTTAATGGATATTAGTATCATAGAAGAGTTCACTGTGCCTTAAAGATGATTAAATCCAATGTGATCAGTGGATTGAGAGATGAATCATCTAAGAGAGTACATTGAAATAATGAAAAGAAAGGTGATTGGAAAAGGCCTGGAATGGGATCAAAATGACTGTGTTGTTGGAGTTCAGTGACTGCTATGTAGAAACCATTTTTCTGAGAACTAAATGAGTAATCGATCATAAAGGCTTACAAGTATATCACTACATTTCTTTTGTTTGAATTTATTCACATCAACATAAAACATTATGCATTATAGTCACATAGTTTTTTTAATATGAAAAGCCACTTAAGAAAATTACTTTTCTGACCTGCTTTGTCAGAATTTTTAAAATGAAAAAAGATTTTCTTGTGTTTTTATAATTACAGAATAGAGAGTGTATCTGTTTCTAAAACCAACTATTTTGAATGTACTGATCAAAATTTCTGTATTGTGATTCCCTAAAGGGCCCTCGAGGTGTGCAAGGTCCACCTGGTCCAACAGGAAAACCTGGAAAGAGGGTATGGCTATTTTTCCTTGTGTATTTTGAGTTGTAACTTTAGCCATCATTCTTCGTACTTACTGTTAGTAGACTTCCTTTGCTTAACCTTGCTTTGGGCATTTTCAGGGCCGTCCAGGTGCGGATGGAGGACGAGGGATGCCAGGAGAACCTGGATCTAAGGTCAGGACTTTGTAACACTGTATTCAGATTGTGTATGCCACATTATCCTTGATGATATCAGGTTTTAATATAAAATTTATTGATATGAAGTGAGCTCGACATTAAGATTAGAGTCCTGAATCATAATAAAACTATGATGGTAATTTGTTTGCAATTTTACAGGGAGACAGAGGATTTGATGGACTTCCAGGTCTTCCAGGTGACAAAGGTCATAGGGTAAGATATAGTTATTGCTTTTCATCCCAGGAGTAATAATAATCTTAGGAACTTAGGGATAGTATTGGTATACTTTTGGAAATCAAGAGAAATCATAGCACAAACATTGGTTACTCCATTTGGTAAATTTTTATATCTAATGGATATTGACAAATATAGATACATCTTTGTAGGTGGTACCAATATGTTTTTTCACTATTTATAGGCATTCAAATAGAGGTAGAATGTCTATGCTCATAGATCACATTCATAGAACAGTTAGAGAATTTAAATGAGAATTTTATTTTTTGAGCATTGTCACATATTTTACATCTTGTTGTGGAAATAACTCAGATGAGGACATCTTCAGACATCCTGGCAACATTGTTTCTTTGTGATGCACAATTCAATGCAAGAACTCATTAATTGTAAGGCTAAAGTATGTTCTTTTTTTAGTGGGAAATTGGGGAGACAGGTATTTTATTTTATTTTATTTTATTTTATTTTATAAGATTTGTTATTTGTATCTTTCTTCACCAGAATGAAGAACAAACCTAGGACTGTATTTAGGTAAATTGGAGGATGAAAAGAAAATTTAATCATATAGTCACCTAACAAAATAACTGACATATGCCTAACACATGCTAAGATGCAATGCAATTGTGTTTTATGAAAGAAATCCAAAATCCCTTTAAATCTTTATCAGTTGTGCTGATTTAATATGAGATATTCCAAAAAAAGTCTTTAACAACAAAATATACTCATTTTTAGGACAATCATTAAACAAAATCATTTTTTCTGAATAATTCACTTTAATAACTTCCTGAAAATATTTTACCAATGTTTTCTTTCAATCACTTTTATTAAAACTTGATAAACATTTTTCTAGCATATTGACTTATAAAGCTGCTTAGAGTTTAAAATTTTACCTATCTGGACACTATTCTAAGAAAGGTAAAAGCAATGTAAGTTTTCCTGGGCCAGTGTCTTTTTTTACCAGGTTGTGTTGACCATCTTATGTAATTGTAAAGAATCACCTTCTTTCTACATTTATCCTGTTTATGTTTATTCCTTAGGGAGAAAGAGGCCCACAAGGTCCCCCTGGCCTTCCTGGTGATGATGGAATGAGGGTATAATAACATTTTACTCCTTTTAGAGTAAAATTATTTTACAATTACAACACAAATGACAAAGTCCTTCTGAAGTGATACCTCTCTAATAGTACTCCTTTCCCTTTTGTGAATTCCAAGGGAGAAGATGGGGAGATCGGGCCCAGGGGTCTTCCAGGTGAAGCTGTAAGCAATTATTTTTTTTTTTATTTTTAAGTACCAGTGTCTTCTTTGAGAAGTAGCGACTGCTGTTTCTTATTTGGGCAAAGCTAACCTGAGTAACATCGCATTTTACACAAATTAGCCAAGTAATTTTCCAATTAATTTTCATATTAAAAAGTGAAGTGTACAGTTCTGCCCTTTTGTTGTAAAGAAAAACTTTGTAACTTGAAAAATGGAACTGTGGAATGTAACATCTTGCAGGTCAAAAACATTAATTTTTAGTTTTTATTGCAGATAAAAACATTTTTTATCTTCAAATACTACCAGTACTTCAGAATTCACTTTTCTTGTGTGTAAATTAACCTTGTCAGAAACAAGACATTCAGATGTCATGTACTAGACATGAAGATTATATGAATTTTCTCAAATGAATGTTGATAATAAGCAAGTTCAGCTGTGGAGACGTACTCAAAGCCAGACAGGAAAAAACAAAACACTTGAAATCCTTTCCTAACTTCTGCCTTCTGTTGCCACTATGAAGTCTGCCAGCGCAACTCTAGTCAAGTACATAGATAGAGTAATTATTACACTGACTTTCTAAAGCTGGAAAAGAACATTGAGCAGAAGAGGAGAGAAAGATAATTTGAATGTAAATGTTAGTAATTTAGAATTCCTTTATCTAGAAAATGATTTTATAATCTGAAAAGATAGATACCCAGCTGTTTGCTTGTAATTGAATGTTCTCCCAAGATGGAATTTATATAAAAGTAAAATGAGTGATATTCGGGGTTTTTCTGTTTGTTCAATATGTGTGATCACAACAGCAAAATTGAATGTGGCAATCAAAGTGAAAATGACATAAAAGTATCTCATTAAAAGCATTCCTAGGCTTCAAAGCTACACAGAGAAACCCTGTCTCCGAAAAAAAAATAAATAAAAGCATTCCTAGGGATGCATCTATAAATATATTGGTTTAAGAAGGTTTCTGTACTGACCACTGTTATCTACTTTGCCTTTGTGTCTGTATAAACATTCAATATTTATATTGCATAAGATGCTACTTGAATATCTATGTTCAATGTACTGAGAAATGAATAAATATTTTCTATTAAAATTTCAGTGAAAGAGGCCTCTTTTGAGGGCATTTCTTATGCAAGGTTTCTCTTTTGCTTTTATTCCTTTTAGGGTCCACGAGGCTTGCTGGGACCACGGGGAACTCCAGGACCTCCTGGGCAGCCTGTACGTATTTTTGGGAGTATAACACAGAACCTAGTTAACTAACTGTCTTGCTAACTGTGGCTAAATGTCTTAACTAACTGTGAATGCTGTCTGTCAGAGTAACTGATCACTCTTTCCATAATTGCTCTTTCCTTCTGTTTCCATAGGTCTTACAATTTTCATGCTTAATCCCTAGCACACAATAGAAGATGGTATTAGGTTATCTTCAAGGTGGAAATGTATGGGAGGGTACAGACCTTCCCTAATTTTTGTTAAATCCTAAGTCCCATTTCTGATTATTCTTTTTTCATTTTTGGTTTTGTTTTGTTTTTGTTATTTTGTTGAGACAGGGTTTCTCTGTATTGTTTTGGAGCCTGTCCTGGAACTCGCTCTGTAGACCAGGCTGGCCTTGAACTCAACAGAGATCCACCTGCCTCTGCCTTTAGAGTGTTGCGATTAAAGGTGTGCGCCACCAAAACCCAGCTTCTGATTATTCTTAAAAGAATCATAAATGACCATAGGCTACTGGCTTTTCTTTATCTTTTCCATTTTAATATCTAGAATTTGAAACCTATTTTGTTCTTCATTGAAGGGTATCGCAGGTATAGATGGCCCACAAGGACCTAAAGGAAACATGGTATGTACTTAAGATCTATAAATTCATGTCCATAGACATTTGTCTGTTAAATTAAAAAAATAATGAGCAGGGAAGAAGAGGAAGGATGCAGAGGTCATGAGGGAGCAGAAAGTTTGAGTCATGTGTAGATTAGAAGAAAGGATATGTGATAGGTAGGGCTTTAGTTGGGGGGGTGGGAGGAAGGGAGGGCGAAGGGAACTGGGATTGCCATATAATTCAATCTTGTTTCTAATTCAAATAAAATAAATGATAAAAAAATCTTACACATTGCTAAACACATTTTCCAGACTTCTTGAGTGACAACTGATTTGGAGATAATTTTCAACAATTAGAATAAATAACTCCTATAATGCAAAGATCTTATTAATTACTTTATTTCTTCCTATACAGGGTCCTCAAGGGGAGCCTGGACCTCCTGGTCAGCAAGGGAATCCAGGACCTCAGGTAACTCTAATCCATCATTTTTCCTGGGAGACAATGGGTTAAGATGGTATGTTTTTAAATAAAATACATAGTGTTTCAAATTGTTCTTTGTAGAACCAAATATGTTTAAAATGGGAAGGTACAGAGTATTTCCTTTTTTAATATGTTCAAGAATAAAAAAAAGAAAAGACTCATTCAGCCTTCACAGGATTCCATAGAGAAAATTCACACCTCTGGAGGTTATGGTTAGAATCACATTACAAGCTGTTGGAAAAAGGAACTTATATAAAACTCCTCACAGTGCTCCAAAACTCTGTGTGTAGTACAAGAGGGAGTGTTGTGTGTGTGTGTGTGTGTGTGTGTGTGTGTGTGTGTGTGTGTGTGTGTGTGTATAAGAGAGGGGGGTTAGGTTCAATTCATGTGCTTTAGATTTTATCTGTTGTGAAGATGAGTCCTTGTGAAATAATTCCTTACATAAAATAAATTCTTTTATTCTAGGGTCTTCCTGGTCCACAAGGCCCTATTGGCCCTCCTGGTGAAAAGGTGAGTAAGTTCTTATTTTATTTTCATAATCTCTGGTAAGTTAGTTTGTACCTGCCGCCCTCAGCAGTCATTAAGTCTGCTCTTCTGGATGTCTCTGTACATGGTTTTATCAAAGTAATGTAGTAACTTGAAGTAGAACCATTACATAAAAGTTGGATAGAATTCATTTAAATACCATTAAGATATAAATGAAAAAAAGAGGTATTTACTTAGATTGTGGTGATTTCAGAAACTGAAATGAGTGTTGGTTTTGGTTCATCTTTTTTTTTTTCATTATTTAAAAAATGTAATTTGACTCAAAGTCTGTAAACTTTGAACTTCTATAGTGTTAGAATTAAGCATTTACAATGGAAGTCTTGAGACTTCACATTAAATTTTATATTTTCAGTATTCAATATATTTCATGTACTTATTGATCACCAAAAGCATCCATGACAATTATAACTAGAAAACAGTTAATATAATCTTTATATCTGGCTAATTATGGTACATAATATTTTGATTTACCTCAAGATTTTTAAATAAAAAGGTATAAAATATATTTAAAAAATTTTTTTATGTGTAGGAATGATTTTCTTTCATAAATGTCTGTACACCTCATGTGTGCAGTGCCTGTGGAGGCCATCCGTGGTTATAGATCCTCTGGAACTGCTGTTATAGATGGTTGCGAGCTGCCAAGTGGGTGCTTGGAATTGAAACCGGGTCATTTGGAAGACCAGTCAGTGCTCTTCACTACTCTCTAGTCCATAAAATATATTGATATTTTCAACTGTTATTAGGCTTGCTTTCAACAAAACTTGTTTCACGACCTTCTTAAAGGGAAATTGAAACTTTCCATTGGCCCATTTCTATTGTGTAAATGACAGGTGCTGTTCTTGTTACTAGTTCAGGTCTGGATCACAGCAAGAATAAGTGGTACTTAAAAGGATGACTTTCCCTGGTTTCCCTTGTAGATCCCAAATGAAGTATTTCTTGTCCACTAGTTTACAGTACAACCATAAGCTGGCTCTTTGTAGTGGTTCTTTTTTTCTTATTGTTGTGAATTTTAGTGAAGAAAACTGGTTCTTCGGAGAAAATCAGTACATTTACAGATATATAATTTATCAATTACAAAATTCACTTGTATACCCTAATACGAGACAGTGGATTTTTAGTAAATTTTCTGAGTTGTGCAAACATGTAACTTTTAGTATTTATACCACCCTAGAAAAACTTTCTGGGTTTACTAACCATCCTCTTTTCCACATTACAATACTAATCAACAGCTTGTTTGCTTTCTGAATGTCCACATTTTTTTCTTCTGAATATTTCATACTAATGAAATGTTGATGTTTTAACACATAAATTGCATCATTGGACTAAGTATATGGCCTTAGTGCTTATCATGTTTATAGTGCTTTTATAATTAATGCATGTCAGAGCATATATTTATATTTTTATCTTTTTTTGACAATTAGTATCACATTCAGAATTTTGTTTATTTATTCATCAGTTGATGATCATTTGGGTTGTTTATACATTTTAGCCATTCCCCTCAAATAGTGGTGTCATGAATATTTTCAGGCAAATGTTTACATAGACATGGTTTATTTATTTATTGCATACTTAAAAATCCTAGGTCATATAGTAAGCATATATATAATATTTTTAGAAGTTTCTAAACTATCAAGTGATTGAACCATTCATTTTTATTTCCTTCATAGAAACATTGAAATACTAGTTCTTCCACATCCTCATTAATATGTGTCACTCTTGTTTTTCACCATTTTCCTTGTGGTTCCAAGTTCTTTTCATCTTGTTCATAATTAGCATTTCTTGTACTTTGCACCTTTTGTTTTTGATAGCGTATTGGTCATTTCCACAAATCTCTGTTTTCTTTATTTTTCCCTTTCTTTCTTCTTTTATTTATTTTTATTTTGTTTGTTTTTGTATTGTTTTTAGACAGGGTTTCTGTGTGTAGTCCTGGCTTTCCTGGAACTCACTTTGTAGACTGGGCCAGCCTCAAACTCACGAAGAAGACCTGACTGCCTCTCACTCCTGAGTGATGGGGTTAAAGTCACGTGCCACTACTACCAGGCTTCCTTTTTTCTTTTTTTCTTTGTGGAAGAAGCTCACCATGTTACTCTGTCTGACCTGAAACTCTGTGTAGTGCAGGTTGACTTAAAACTCACTGGGACCTGCCTGCCTCTGCCTCCTGAGTGTTAGCATTAAAGGTGTGCACTACCATATTTGAGCAATTCACAACTTGCCTCCTTAAGGGATGATTGAAGTGCATTATTTATGTGGATGGATGTAAGTGCAGTATAGGGGTGGTTCTGAAACACAGTATGAAATTTAGGTATGTTCTGCAGAGTATTTCTTAAGCCATTTATGTAGGCAAATGGTATATCATTGAGTAGCACAGCCTTCTCCTTCTTCGGTCTTTATTTTCAATCAGCGACTTTTCGACTAGATCACTCTCGTCTTTTATCTAGCACTTCACTAGCATCCCATGTTCATTGTAAATTACATTGAAATATGTTCCTATTACATTTCCAACAGGACCTTATTATGCACTCTTTATATTGTTAAGAGGAATTTTCTCCTTGGGAAAATGGGTGTATTTGAATTCTTGTTGCTGAGCCAGAAGTAAAATGTATGGTTTGGCTCATTGCAGCTATTGTTCACATTGTACTCCAGCATTTTCTCTGTTCTGAGCATATCTGCCCTGTAAATTGCAAGACAATCGTGTCCCATCAAAAAGATAAGACACTCAAAAAGATAGATATATCAAGATTACACATATGATATGTTCTTAATATCTTGTCTATATCAGGTAGTAAATATTTTATTTACTTGTTATCTTCTATTATTCTAAAACACTTGTTACTTCAGTCTTGGTGGATTATAACTATTTCATGTGTAATTTAGCATTCAGATATTGGCGTTAGATGTTTTAATTTCTAAGAACTTTCATATGAAGTTATTATAATTTATGTTTTATTCTGTTTCTAATAAAGGTTACTAGTGGTTTACAGTGATAAACTACCTCTGTTATTTATGTGACATTTTTGACAAGTAGGACATTTCCTGTGATTTAATTTGTGAGTTCAGAGTTCATATTACTCACATGTTAATTGATTTACAGAAAACAAGTGATGTGTCTTTATGAGGTCAGTGAGAAATACCAAGACACAAAGTAAATGTCTGTTAAAGACAGTGACTTTGAAGACTTGAATGTGTATCTAGATGCATACAGACTATGAGTCTGTCAGTCACATAATAACAGATGTTAATGTTTCTTGGGACTCACTGAGACCAAGTGGATAATGCATATAAATGGCTTAACACAGTGCACAGAAGCACTTCGTAAATTTTAACTTTTATTAAAATATGAAACATATGACATTCATTCATCTTTATTCCCACCTCACCAGGGAAAACATAGGGAGTTTAAAAATGCAAATAAAACATTCTGTTGTCATGAAACTTCCATTCAAAGGGAGATGGATTGAATTCTATTTCATTAAACAATAATCTTATTTTGTGAGAGTTTTAATATTTCTTGTTTCTCCTCAAATATATATCAGTGGCAAAGGGTCACATAACATTGCTTGCCAAGTCAGTGGCACAACTGCTGGTAACAATAATTAATGGACTCATTCTACATTGGTGTACTGAATTTGTTTGACAAAATTAGACTAGTGTCTTAAAATAAAGAATAATTTAAGTGACAGGCAAAATATTGCAATTAAATATTTAGTGTTTTATGCTAATAACTGTGGTATGCAATAGGACTGCAGATGGGTGGAAAGAATTGAAATTGTAAGCCTTTCCAAAAGGAAGCAAGTGATTTAGGGGATAAAAGCCATTTCTCAAAAAGCGATTTTCCTGCTCTTTCTTCCACATGATTTAGTTGGTGCTTTCCCACAAAGCTCTATAGGTCCAGTCCACATAGATACAATGCTGATAAGTACCCTCTAATAACAGAAATATTGTAAACCATATTTGAGACTGAGATGCACTGGTGACGTCCCTCTCCTCTATCTACTATTTTCATATCTTTGCTAGTGAAATGAACTGCCTTGGAATTGATATATTTAATGTTCCCATAAGAAGAATGCCTAATATTCTCCCAAGAAATGGTATAATTGGAGTATTTGTCTTTTTTTTTTTTGAGACAGGGTTTCTCTGTGTAGCTTTGGAGGCTGTCCTGGAACTCACTTTGTAGACCAGGCTAACCTCAAACTCACAGAGATCCGCCTGTCTCTGACTCCCGAGTGCTGGGATTAAAGGTGTGAGCCACCACCACACAGCTACAGTATTTATCTTTACTGTGTTCTGAAAATTAACAATGATGGGTGACACAGAATTAGAAATACTTAGTAAAGAAAAGACTATAGTGACCCACTGAGCAGTTACGTTTTAGTTTTTTTGTTAGATGTCTGTTAGTTTATGCACCTCTTACATCAACATAGATGTACATGTCTTCAGGTCCGAAAAACTGACACAGGAACTTACATTTACTAGAACAGTTTAACAATCTAATATACCACCACTAAACTCCAAACTGTATCCATGTCTATTAACAACAGCACAGTCTAAGAAACATCATTAGGCAGCCAGCTACATCATGATATGAGCAACATCCAGCACATGTGCACATCTAGTGACACAGGTCAGTGACCTGGTGCTTGTCAGAATCAAGAGATGTAAATAGAACATGTATGGGCCAACAAAATGAGAACAGTGTTTTGTAGTAAACTTATTCTTCACTGAGTAGAACATTTGGACTCTAATAAAAACATATAGTATGGTGAATATTGTAATTATTATTGTATTCATTCATCACCATAATCAAGAGTCATATAATATATATAGTTATGTATGTAATACCCTTATAAAAATGCACAATGCATTTCTGTGCATCACTACAAACACCCTGGCAATAAGTTGTTTTCTCTGATATTAAGAGGACAGCATCAGGAATTTTTCATCTCTATTTTAATCCTAAGGGGCCTCAATTATATGTGGTCTGTTATTTACCAAAGCCTTCAATTTGGCTTATGGCTGCGTCTTTTGATAGGTATTAATGTGATATGATGTTGTCAAGGGGATTACCCAAAGTTGTACTTACTAGTGTTGGGAGTGAATGCATTTCTCAACTTTGCTATTTGCATTTTTGTTCTGTTATCATCTGTTTATTGTATCATTTAAAAACTAATTTGTCAGTTTTAATAGTGGAATATTTAGAACAGCTAAGCTGACTAAACATAGCATATTTCATATCCTCTGACATCTCTTAAGTTCAGTTTTCATTTGTTTTTTTGTAGTATGTTTCCATTATCAAGTTTTTATAACATTTTTCTGCTTGTCTTACATATAGAAGCCACTGTCTCAAGTTCACTCTGTTATTAGTGCCATACTGATACCCACAGTATTGAGCCTTTCATGATTTCCTCTCTTTTAAATCAAATTCTCTCCTCTTTTTGATTAGGGACCACAAGGAAAGCCAGGACTTGCTGGGCTTCCAGGTGCTGATGGGCCTCCGGTAAGTCAATACTGTCTCTCTCCTAATTGACATTTCCATAAGCAGTCTTAAAAAAATAAATTTTACATGATTCCTAGAAATGTTTACATGTAGGTAGTAATCAGAGTGCATTGATTCAGTAATTAAGCCTTGATTTTTTTTACAATACAATATAATTTCCTTAAGTCACTTTTGTTGAGAACTCTTCAATAAATGCACAGTAGCCTCTAGATAAAGTTATCCACACACTGCACACCAGAACCTGCCAGAATCCTTCCTTCCTCATTCCACATGTTCTTCTCTGACATCTGTTTGATGCTACTTTGATTTTCAGTGACTGTTGTGTTGAAGAAATAGACACTAAATGTAGTGGATGAGCTCATCTAAAACATGAGCTCATCTGTTTTTTATTTCCCTCTCAGAGTCTGTCAGTCTTAGGATTTTTATTGTCGTGATGAAACAGCAAGGCCAAAAGTAATCTGTGGAGGAAAGGGTTTATTTACTTCCAGGTAACATCACTGAGGGAAATCAGGGTGGGAACTCAAGCAGGGAAGGAACATAAGGAGGAAAGAATGCAGAGGTCATGGAGGTATGCTGGATATGTCTTGCTCCTCTTGGCTTGCTTAGCCTGCATTCTTACAGCGCTCAGGACCATTTGTCCAGGCTTGGCACCACACACAATGGGCTGGGCTCTCCAATCACCAATGAAGAAAATGCCCCTACAGGACAATTTACAGACAAGCCTGGTTGGGCCAGTTTCTCATTTCAGATGTCCTTTTCCCAAAGGAGTCTAGTTTATGTAAGATGACATAAAAGTAGATAGCATATGAGCCAGGGTAAGGTGCTCAGAATCCATTACTTTTTTCAGGTAATATCCACGAACATTCTTCAGGCTTTAGGGTGCTCCTCATCTTCTAGAAATATAGGAAGATCTGTGTATATATAGAAATATAGAAAGATCTCTCACACAATATAATTTCTACCTTCATTTTAAAATTATTATTGATGTTATCTCTTCAAATTTCTTATTTAAATTTGTTGCAAGCAAGATACAAAATTTCTTGTGTTATTTCTTCCTGCCACAATAGAATCTATTTGTGGTACAGCTATATATTTATATTTCTGTAATCTCAATAACATAATAAACTGATTACTGCCTTTGATCTTTCTACGTATTTCCATCACATGCTCTTTTTGCCTTTTGAGGATGCAAACATCCATCATCTTTTTATTTCCATACTGAATATACATTAGATATAACTTGCTCTGTGTAAGAGTGTGAGACTGAATTGTTAATAGCATGATGTATTTCTCTAACAACCATTACTGAAAGTCATGAAACTTATACAATTTTTCAATAATTGTTTTTTAAAAAATGAAGTATACAATCTCAAGTTTTTTTAAAAAAATGGGGAAGAATTTAACAAAATTAACAGTTACCATTAATGTCACATGTTCACCAGTGTGTATGTTTGCTCCATATAGGGTCACCCTGGAAAAGAAGGCCAGTCTGGAGAAAAGGGGGCCCTGGTAGGTACAAAGTGTCTGTCTAAAGAGCATATCAATTATAAGGTCTTGTCAATTATAAGTGCTTTTGGTATAACCAGGAAGCTAACCTACGTTAGCTAATTTTGATTTATGAAATAGACTGTATCACCATTTTTGTATAAGTAATCCTCACACAGGTAGATCTTTATGCTAAATATTTAGCATATATGGAATAAATTTTGATGAACACTAGTAAGAATTACTGAGTATCTGTACATTACTTATGTAAATATTAAACTTTTACCTACTACTTCCTAAAACCATTATTTGAAGTATATGAATGAGCAGTATTGCCAATGTACCATCCATTTTAATCACAATGGATCTTTTCCAGGGTCCTCCTGGTCCACAGGGGCCTATTGGCTATCCTGGTCCCCGTGGAGTAAAGGTAAATGCTAATTTTTTTGTACATTATTTCACTTCAAGGTGAAGTGTTATTGTCTCTTAATGTTAATGTTTTCATTTTGTTCCATAGGGCGCAGATGGTGTCAGAGGTCTCAAGGGATCTAAAGGTGAAAAGGTAAAATATGATTTTAATTTCTAAGCATCCAGTGTATAAAATTAAAGTGTACTCAGTATTTATTTTTCTCCTTGAAATACATACAGCAGTTACTTATGAGCCAGACATTGCAAGTGTAAGTTTATTCCAGAACCCTTAAAGAGAGTCTGGTATAGTAGGGGGTGAGCTAAATTGTAGCCGATGCAAAAGAATGCCGAGTTAGCCCAAAAGCCCTTTTAATTACATTTGTTTAACTTGAGTAAACCACAAATTCTTCTGTTGGTATGGGTTGGTTATGACATAAGGACATTTTCTAGTTATATTAAACCAGGGTTCATTCATTTCATCTCTTATAAAATCTCTGATTCTCATAAACTGAAAGTAATAGAAAATATAAGATTTTGTTTTGTTACTGTGAACAAGGAGCTTTCATACATGATGATGCATGGAAGTAATATTTGGGAGGAAATAAAATTAAAACCAAGCAGAGGTAGATAAATGTAGGTGCCTCAGGCTATGTAAGGTTATGATCTCTTAATAGGGCTTTAAGAGATTACTTGTCTTTTCCTAAATAACAATGCATTTGGATTTGTTTTGATAAATATTTAACATATTTGGACATTCCTAAATCCTTCAAAGATAAGTTTTCAGTGTGAAGGAGCTACTTCTGACAATCAGGATTAGGATAATTCATACTTAAATTACATGGTGTTTTCAAACACTAAGTACAGACACAAGACCTTTTCATTAGTACTTTTGATGAGGTGAGTGAAGCTACTTATAGTAATACTACATTGGTTTAGTGATTTTTTTGAATCATAATATTAGGAGAGATCATTGAATATATTTGGGATTAGTTGGTGTTGATAAATAAACATAAATTTATTATCACTACTAAAATTTTTTTGTACATAAAATTTGCTTGGGAGATAATAAAGGTGTACAAGATATTGTTATTTGTATTCTTGAAAAAAATGTGATGCACTTTCAACTAAGCTAGCTACTTTGATGACAGTCCTAATTCATCTTGATCATCATGGCTTTCTGTTGTGACAGGAGAGTGCTGTGATATCTGACAGTGCTGAACTTAAAATATCTGCATTGTATCTTGTCTGTGCTTTGACATATATTCATGCTCATATAAACATCTATATACCAATTCAATTTGCATATTGGAATCAGCACCCACCAAAGGCTTTTAAGTGGGCGAAGGTGGGTAAAGAACAGTGTTTAATTGAGGAAGCATTTGGTAAATTTCTGGAGGGAGAATCAGTTGAAAAATGAGAAATAAATTAGAGATGATTACAAGAAAATGAGAAATCATCTATACAAATAAATGTAGCACACTTCTACATTGAAACACCAAGTGATTATTGGTTACTTAGAGTTGTGTTTACTTTCAGAAGAAACAATGCACCAAAAGAAAACAAATTAAAATTTTGCATTGAATCAAAGTTATGTATTCTGACTCTAGTGTCATCTAGCATAAATGTATAAATAGGAAGCTTACATTTTTGAAGCTTTGCTTTTAAATCTAATTCTTTAAATGCTCTGCCTTTATTTCTAACTAATATAAAAAAACAGTGTATTATTATATAGCTCACTTCTGAAAATTCTAGGTAAATGAATGGAAGTTTTTAAAATAGAATTATTCTTGTTATACTATGTTGCAATAAATTTAATAAACATTTCTCTTTTTAAAATATGAAAATAATAGATTAAGAAGAGACAGAAAGGTTGTTAAAGAACAGTGTTGCTCAATGGTAGAACCTTTCCTAGAATGTACAAGTAAGGAGGTCAAACCCCAAAGACTCAAACACCCAAAAGAAAATAAAAAAATTCTTATTACTCTACAATGGTATTTATGGATATCTAATGGTGAAAGAGGAATTTAGCACACTGAGATTAAGATCCACTTTGGTTTTGAATTCATATCATCCTCTAAACCTTCTACTATAGCACCAAATAAACCAAACCACGTGTAGTTTTGTTCTACAGCTCTAGCCAAATTCTGCACCATATTTTTGTTCTTCTAAAATTTATTAATTTTAGCACTTAAAATCTAATGACGTGACATGCCGTTTGCTTAGTAATGGTAATCAATGATATACCTAAAGAAATTTGGTCTTACATTTTTTAATGATTAAGGAATCTTTGAGAACTGACAAAGATAGCCTTCCATGTATTGATTTCAAAGAATTCAATAAATGAGTAAATAAATAAATTCAAATGAAACAAAATAAAACTAACCAACTAACTAGGATTGTTTGAAACACTCCCCAATACTTTTACTGATTCTTAGACACAACACACAGCTTTCTTTAAACTAAACTTGGCAACTGTGTAATTACCTTTGTCTCAGGGGAGAAAGTAATGACAGTAATGAATAGGCAGTGAATGACCATTTCAGCTCTTCAGCCTCTCCCTTAGCTCTAGTGGCTTTGAGCACACAGAACAGCCTGCTCTTTAAAAGGGCCCTTTGCCACTAGGATCTTGAAAACAGCATTGTTTACTCCTGAGGAAAAGTCTACAAACCCTTAATTTAGATGTGTCTCAGTTCTGTGTCACTGTTTCCAGGCTTAGGTCTTTGTTCTTCCCTGCATCAAAATAATTGATGCAACAATTCAAGGTCCTCAAATTTTTATAATAACTAAGTATTCCCTTTCTTTAAAAGCTAAATAATACTTCATTACATATATCAGCTATTTCTACATGCCTATTAGTACATCAATGAATACTTTGATTGCTGCTATATTTTTGCTTATTATTCTGCATCCAATTGTCACATACATACTCAGACCTAAAATTTTCACTTTACTTTATAATTTTGTAGTCCATCTACTTTCCATTCTCACTGACAGCACACAGAACTCACAGTTTCTCTGCACTCATCAACACATATATCCTTTCCTTGTGTTGAACAGCAGTCATCCCAGCAGCTTCATTTGCATTTTCATAATGATCAGTGATATTGCACATTGATGCTGCACGTTCTTTAATGTACTTAGGGCTCCTTTCTATTTGTTGTCTCATATTTTGTGAGTTGCCTCTTTATTCTGCCCCTAATGACTTTTGATGAACGTAAGAAATATTAAACAAATATTCAAGGATGAGAAGTTTTATTTGCAGGCGTGATGCCAGCAGTTTCAGTCAGTCATGGTAGGGGAAACTGTGGCATATAGGACTCCATCTGTGCAGTGGAGACACAGCAAGAACTCAAGGCTGTTTAAGATGCTCAAATGCTGCCTTAGGGAACTCCTTCTGCTGGAGTGGCCACAGCTTCTGAACTGTCATAGCCTTCAAAATGGTGTTAGCAGAAAAGAACAAGCTTCAACACATGAACATGGGGCTCAGATTTCATGTAGCCATAATAGTTTAAGCTTTGACATTTTCTGAACCTTTACCTAATTAACAAATCACCAACTGAAAAATGGACATTTTCCCATTTGTTCACTTAGTGCTTATTGAGCATCATGGATTTTAAGGTGTCAAATAGGTTATGCACCAGGTATTCAAAGGCTAATCAGGAATGCTTATTGGTTATACCATTTATTGAAAACAATGTCCTGTTGTGATTAAGTGCCAACTGGCTTATTTTTGTCATAACGAATATATATTTGGTGGTACACGGGAAACAGAGGTTAATTTTATGAGGAAAAATTTTAACCAAGGAAAATTTATGAATTATCAGAGGAGTCTTGAGTTAAAAGTATCTCTTGGTTAAGAAAAGAGAATGAGACACGAAGGACAATGACAATGTAGCTCAAACCCCAGTTTTCTGGAAGTCAGTCCCAGGATTTGGATGAGGATGGAGGAGCAATTCAAGAAAAAAAAAGCATGGGAAATGATTAAGGATAAAATTATGGAATAGGCTGGGTCTAATTTACCTTCATCATTTTGAGCCTAAAAGTGGTGTGATCATTTTTTGTTTGCTTTAGTGAAAATATATAACAACAATGAAATATATACAGATACCTATGTAATAACAATTAGTGAAAGAAAAGGCCTAGAATTTGAAAGACATCAAGGAGGGATATCTAGGAGTGTTTGGAAGAGGAAAGGCAAAGGACAAGTGGTGTAATTATAGTATAATCTCAAAATAAAGGAAAGGAGTAGGAATGTGGATTTATATGTCTATCTTCAATTCTATTCACTGATTAGTGACTCTACTTTTTATGTCAGTATTATGCTGTTTCAGAAATTTGATCTAGAAATCTATAGTATAGTTTTACATCTAAGATAGTGATACCTTCAGCTGTTTATTATTCCTTAGTATTGCTTTGGCTATCTTGGATATTTTTATAGCCATATGAATGGTAAGATTTTTTCAATCACTGTGAAGAATTGCTTTGGGATCATTTTTTTGATACTATACAATCCTTACAACATTTCTCCATTTTTCCTCCTCCCAAAACTCCCAGGCACCTGTCCTTGTTCTCTATCAAATCAGGGCCTCTTGTGTCATTACTTGCATATATGTTGGTGGGAGTTTCATTGAATGAGTTGTTTTTGAAACACAGAACAACCTCATGATACTAAACTTGCCACTTCATGAGTACATACTAAAATCTTTCCTATTAATTAATGTATTTCACTGTCAATATTATTATAAATTCTGTTGTCACTTCTGTTCCAAATATACCCATTATTCATTTACATTTATCTTTAGTATATCTTTCTTCAATATATAAAAGCTTTTCCTCCAAGCATTTAGTAGGAACTATACAACCTCTTGGGGGAAAAAAACTTTTTGAAAGGGAATTTCCCATACAAGCAGTGTGTTTACAGCATATTGACCTCCCCCATTCTTTCCCTTCTAAGTATTTTTATTGTCCTCATCAAATGATGATCTCTTCTATTATTAGTTTTACACATACATATACAAACAACGCCCTTATGTATATATTTAAACATAGCCTGATGACTCCATGGGTTTAGGGCTGACAGCTTAAGAGCTCATAGCACATCAGGGACTCTTTCCCAGGAGAAGAATGATCTCTCTTAGTACCCATTAAATGCCTATAACTCTTCATTTCAGGGTGAAGCCTAGTGAAAATTCCCCTATCCATGTTGGCTGGTCAATTGTTGTTGTCTCTGCATAGGTCATGTTTATACTACCATGTGGTCAAAAGTTCATACAATCAGAATATTTTTTGAAACCTTAGAAAGATTTATGAAACTTGGAGAACTGTTTTATTTTTCTTTCTTGGGGAAGCTTTTATTGCAAAACTATGTATCAGAATTGAATTCTTATCCTTAAAATAGTTGAGTATTTTAATACTTATTTTGATTAATTTCATGTCTTTTATCTTAATGATGTATTGTGATAGGAATTTATTTACATTATAAAAGGCACAGATTATAGTATACTCTTCATTAGATGTTTAATTTCATAAATAGTGGAAATGCTAATGTGATAGATATAATGTTGTGTGATTAATTTTTGAGGTTTAAAGGCAATTTTTATAAATGTATATACCTTTATATCTATTCATATAAAAACAATTAATAAAAAAGAGGCCAACAATTTGAAAGAGACCAAAGAGGGGTATTTGGAAGGGTTTGGAGGGAAGGGATGGGTGGAGGAAATGATGTAATTATAGTATCATCTCAAAAATAAAAGAAATATTTAAAAAAGCATACATAACATTTCCTGTGGGGTGGGTTCTGTGTCTGAGAGGTGTTGGGAGAGAGGATAAAGATCATCAAAATTCACTGTACAAAATTCTCAAGGAACTAATAACTGTGTTATATTCTGTCTTCATCTATTGTTGGTACCAGAAAAAATCCTCAAAATGTTTTACATTTCTTTGAACACAATAAATGTCCATTTAAAGTGTATTGAAACATAAATCATTTTTTCTTTGAAATTCAAAAAGCATTAAGACCCTCCTGAATCTTTCTAGTTTCAGGATGAGTACATAAAAATATTTCCACAGTCAAATTGTCTTATTCCCTGTGTTGAAGGATGCACAATTTTTAGTGTCATCTCTCTTAGCAAGTTATGGAAAATTGATAGTCTCTCCTGTAAGGTGTATTATAAATTTTCTACTTCCTCACCAGATAACAGTTTAAACAATAATTTGAGACAAAATATATTTATTGATTGCAAATTACATAAAATCATGAAAGTTCTCTTTCTTTAATATTTCTATTATTTTAAACAACTTTTCAAAATAAATTATAGATTAATCATATTCTTCCCCTTCTCCAAATCCTTCCAGATCCTCTCGCCCTCCTTACTCACCTAACTTTAAGTTTAATCTAAACAAACAAATCCCCTCAAAAACCAAGGAAACAAAACAGTACCCAAAAGAAAACAACAACAACAAAAAAACTGACAATAAAGCCCCATACCAAACAGTAACTGATAACCACACACACAAAAAAAATATGCAGTCCGTTATATGGTAGTCAACTACTTCTGCACATAAGGACCAAAGCCTGCCCTGGTGTGGTTGATAAGCCCAGTGTCATTCCATTGGAGAAAGCTCAAAAATCATGAAAATTCCAACGTAAAAATGTGTCTCTTTGGATAAAAATATTTTGTTAAGTTCTTTAGTTTATGTTAGTGATAATTATTTAAATACTTTTTCTTTGTTTAAATATTGAAAATAAATGCTATTATTAATAAATGATTCTTCCTCCAAGGAGTAGAGAGATAGTAATGAATACATTTGTGAAAATTCTCTAACTTATAGGCAATCCCTATGGATGGATGATAAAATTCTGGGGATACAGGAATAGGTCCAGGATGGAACAGAGAGCTTGGGGTTTCATGACTGGAATTTTTTTCCTCAGGAGATTTTCTTCTAATTATTAATATTTATTTTACATAGACTTATTTTTTAGTAATTAAAAATGATTGATTAAAATCTTCTTTATTCATGATAGGGTGAAGATGGCTTTCCAGGGTTCAAAGGTGACATGGGGCTTAAAGGTGACAGAGTGAGTAAAAAGATTTACACAATTATATAAATTTGAAAACACTGAATGTTTTTTACTTCAGCTTGATATTGCTGTGATAAAACACAATGGTCAAAAGCAATTTAAGGGTAGAAGGATTTATTTTCCTTACACTTACAGGTAGCATTGTATCATTAAGAAAGGTTAGAACTAAGGGAAGAATTCAAGCAGGAGAGGATCCTGGAGGTAGGAGCTGATACAGAGTCCGTGAGGACGTGCAGCTTCCTGGCTTGTCCTCCTTGCTAGCTCAGTTTACTTCTTACAGTACCCAGGACTATCATCCCAAGATGGCCCAAACATTCCTCCACCATCTTCAATCAAGAAACTGCATCACAGTCTTACCTTCAGACCAATCTTGTGGGGCATTTTCTCAATTGAGCTTCCTCTCTCCATAGAGACCCTAGCTTGTATTAAGTCGACATAAACATTAGCTATCACCATTTACAAATATATTTTTCTCAGCAAGCAAAGGTTAAATAAAATATTATCAAATACATCTCATTTCAATTGTTATATGATTATAATGACAGTGGGGATAGTATAGTGCCAGTGTTTTTCTAATTGTTGTGTTAAACTTTATAGGAGACACCCAAATGTATGAAAATACTTCTTGGATTAAGTTCTAATAATGCCATCTTGTTAAAGCCATAGTTTTAATGAAGCATGAATTTAATACATCTGGCTCCCAAAGGTGCTAGCTTTGTGTTAGATGCTAGATGTCATTACTGTACTATGCACTAAGTATATTTACAATTGTTTGCTTCATGCTTGCTTTTGCTTTTGCCTTTTTTTTTTTTTTTTTTTTTTTGAGACAGGAACACGCTATGTAGCCCTCGATAGCCTTGATCTCACTATTTAGCCCAGCCTGTGTTAAAACTCACAAAGACCACTTGCCTCTGCCTTCTGGATGTTGAGATTAAAGGCATGCACCAATCAGCATGCCTGGCATATTTGTACTTTTAAGATAAACTATACTTCATAGATTTCAGGAGGATGTGTGCATGACATGCTTTTTTTTTTTTTTCTTTTTTCCTTTTTTTTTTTTGTAGTGGTGAGGATGTAATTATGGACTTTCACAGTGCTAGACAGGCATTCTGCTATACAGCCACACAGTCAAATACAAGTTTGATTGTCTCATCTCAACAGTGGGCTTATTAAGATATCACCTCAACAGCATCTACATATAACCAAGCACTGTTGTTTATGGCAGCTTCAGAATAGTATGGTCAAATTACTAGAAGAAAGGAATGCAGTTTTATTTTAAATTTTGTGTGGACTATGGTGATTGAAAGTTATATTATACAACTTACATGCATTTTAATTTTTATGGTTTACTGAACTACAAAGTGTAAAAATTGAATATTTACATCTGGCAATGATAGATTTTAAAGTGGATCAACTCACCTAGAGTAAATTAAATACTTTATTTCATAACTGTTATAAACACCTCATCTATCTAATCAAAGAAGCAGACCTTAGAGTGGTTCTGCCCTGTATTTCATGTGAAGGCTGTCAGGATGGGAGACAGTTCATTTGAAATTCAGCTTTTAATTTGCTCAAGATCAAAAAAATTCCAAAGGAAGACTTGTAAATGATAGTTGCCAAAGCTTCTTTCTAATCTTTATTCTTCATTCTCTCCCATATGCATTCTTTGTGTCTCTGTCTCTCTGTGTATCTCCCTTTGTGTCTCTGTCTCTTTCTGTCTCCTTCCATTGCACATATAATGTTAGCAGTATGGGAGTGCATATGGTATGATCAAGCTTCCACAAGTTTTTAAATATTAGGCCACATTCAAGTATTTATTCAAGAATGAAATGCTTGTTGACATCAAATATTTCAACTCTATTCTCATAAGAAAGCAATCAAGCTAAATACAAGGCAACAATCCAAGAGCCAAAAAACCCGATTTTCTCTAGTTGACTAGAACATCCCTCTCCAAATCTGGAAGTGTTTTAAATGAACAATATTACTTTTTATTTCAGGGAGAAGTGGGACAAGTTGGCCCAAGAGGAGAAGATGGCCCTGAGGGCCCCAAAGGCCGTGCAGGCCCAACTGGAGACCCAGGACCCTCTGGTCAAGCAGGGGAGAAGGTTAGTGGGCTTTCATCTAGCAGAATGTGCAGGGCAGGGTGCCTCTGTGTCACTTTTAAACACAAAGTTCTTGTATTCAGTGTGCAGTACTCTTACAGCAATGAGAGAACACTCAGTTCTGAGATGGCTACATTTGTTCTTTTCCTCCCATGGGCTAAATCAGAAGCAGCCATTCCTAAAGCTTGCCTACAGTTGATGCTGAGTATAAATGTCCTGAGTTTAAAGCAAACAGTGGATGGTGGCTTACTTATTGTCTCAGATCAAACCAAACCATATTTGTCCAAAAACAAAGCTGGTCTTTTCTTTTTGTGTATAAATGTATTTCCACAGGATACTATTTAAAGTATATACAGTCAGGCTACTTTTCAAGAGATTTGAATTTAAACTGATATTAAGAAAGTGTTTCCAGGTAAATACAATATTCATTGGTTTGAAAGAACCTGGGCCATATGTGCTATGTCAAAATATTTCCAATATCATTCTTTTAAATGTAGTAAACAACACTAATTTTGCCTCATGGACAATCTAGCTATTCAGGAAACTTTATATTTAGTATGAGCTTAAATTACTATGATTTAGGAGTCTACTGGGGATTAACACCACGGCCTTAAACATGCCAGGCAGATGCTGTGTTTATCCAGTCTATGAACTTAATTGATGGAGGGAAAATGAGAAACATTAAATGATAAGCATTATTTTATATGTATACTAAAGCAAAGTAGAAATTGCTGCTCCATCCTGTTGATTGAATTCTTATGAATTCTCTTCTTTATCTGAGCATTTTTCTCCAGCAAGAACATTGCTTGTCTGGAAAATAAAGAAATTATGTTCTTGATTAGAAAATTGTAACATTTCCACGAGCACAATTCATGTTTTGTCTCAGAAGAACGTTTGGTTGCAACTGTGTAGGCATTGTGGAGAGATGAATGAAAGTTTCTCCCATCTAGAATCACTGCTGTGCCAATTTTACAGGGCTCATGCTTTAGAAACCATTGCCTTTGCTGCACAGATGAGCACCATAGCATTTAGAGAGTAGGGCAAGAGATGATGGGCAGCCAAGGCATCAAGGCTGTAGATGCTCTGATTGCTGTTCACTGCCAGTTGGTCAAGGTTCTCTGATAACCTCCCTCCCTTCTCAGCTATGCTGTTGTGTACAATGGTCCCAGAAAGTATTCTAAAGCACTGCCCTATGCCTCTCCACATGTAACATCTCATTATTAGATGCCTGTTTATTGATATTTGTATCATCATCATCATCATCATCATCATCATTTAAAAGAATACAAGTTTTCTCTCTGCATTTATTATAAAATGATTCTAAAATATAAGGGTATATAGTCTCATATAGCAATTAAAATAGAATACAGGTAGCGTGGTGATCATTAGAGATTTTCATTCACCTTGAAATCAGTGGCATAAAAACAAGAAATAAGCTGTTGTAGCATAATATATCCAAAGGGATGTCATTAAATGCAGCTTCTTAGGGCTTGTTAGCATATTCTCCATCTGAGAATTGCTTGTCTGTGCAGTGTCAGTTTTAACTCTTATAATTCTTCATTTCAGTCTATAAAGACAAGGTCATAAACCGTTCTTTCTCATCTGGCTTTTTCCAGAAGAACTTTTATTTTTGTTTTTATTTAATATTGCACATGTGAATTTATGCCTGAATTGGCTCCTATTATTTTTGAAATGTACATTATCAATAATGATACTTTTTATGTACTGAAATTTTAAAATTTAATGTAAAAATTATATGGTACTTATTTAGACTTTTGTTATAAAAAGTGATGTCCAGAATTCCACAAAGAATTTAGTCAAGTCACTTATTTAGTTTCTTACTTGTGCTATTTTTTCTTTATTGCAAAAAGAAATATTTGTAGACTAATTCATTAGAAAACCTTCTTAAGCCACATTATTTGTTATACAGTTTTGGAACTGATTGTAATTTAACTTTTGTTTTTAAATATTTAACTTTGAGGGATAACTTCATTGGACAGGAACAAAATAGTTACATGTTGAAGCACTGAATTCCAGGAGTAACACTTCATGTAAATTATTATCACTTGTTATAGTTCTCAACATATTTTAAATTTATTAAACTAGATTTAACCAATATTTATACAAATGAACTTTTTCATTTATAAATTTAACTAGGGTATTGGAATACAATTACTTAGATTTTAGTTAATGAGAAAAAGTTACATAACCCAATAACTTATTTTACTGTTAGAATGTGACAAATAAAGAGCGGTAAATTCTGAATGTATTCCAAACTATGTTAACTAAATTGTTCTCATGTTTAATTAAAAAGTTTATTTTCTTTAGTTATGCTTTCTTTAGTTATGTTTTCTGGTCCTCTATTCCATCATGAATGGGTGAAAATAGTCTTCTCCTAAGTTACTATGTCCTTAAAGAAGATGCTATCTTTTGCACAATGCTAGTTTTCAGGTATCACTAAAGCATGGAAGACTTTTATTATTACAGGTATTTCAACAGTTTGTTCAAGTATCCAGAAAATTCTCCCTAATGCAAAGCTTATATTTATCTTTGTGTTTTTCATAATTTTAGGGGAAACTTGGGGTTCCAGGATTGCCGGGATATCCAGGAAGACAAGGTCCTAAGGTAAAATAATTTGAACATTATAGTCTTGTCTTTGTGATACACAGTTAAACTAATAACCTATCCTTAGAGACTTAGTTTTTGAGATGGAGAAAAGAGAGAATAAAATATCATTTCCCTCTAATCAATACTTATCACCAAATAAATAATACTCTTGCATGTATAATACTGCACACACACACACACACACACACACACACAGCTGGAGTGGAGTTGAGGTGTTTCAGAGAGCCTATGATTGTGTGATGTCCTTTAGAATAACTGGGTTATTGTGAAAGAAAGGTTTAGTTTTATAGTTATAGTTTAATTATATAGTTGGAAGATTGTTTTAGTGGTCTCATCAGGCTTTATTCAAATATTTGTGCATAGATAATTCACACATACTTAACAGAAATAAGAAGGGAAAAATCTGGGAAAAAAAAGAAGGAAAGTGATCCAATGTAATTTAAATAAAATGTATAACAACAAATGTTAAATAAAAATATGGCTAGAGAGTGAGCTTAACAATTAAGAACACTGGTATTGTTGCATTGGAAAGAGGTTATATTATTAGAAACTATGGTTCCTCTCCATCTCCTGTAACTTCAGTTCCAAGCGAACTTATTCCCTCTAGTTGGAAGATATTTGAGAGAGGAAAACTAAAATATTTTTAGTTAAATAGTAGATATCATGTGGAAGATAATATATTTTTATTTTATTCCTATTATCCTTGTGATTTGACCTATTTTTCTTTTGTATCAATTTATGTCCTCCTGTGTGTGTGTGTGCACATGTGTGTATACATCTACACAATGAGTGCTCACATCCCAAAGGACAGATATGGAGGATAGGGAACAATTTTCAGGGATCAGTTTCTTCCTTCCACCATATGGTTTCAGGGATCAAACTCTGGTCCTCTCTTTTGGTGGAATGTACCATTAGCCAAAGAGACATTTTGCTTGCTCTATTCCATCATTTTAACAATTCTGACTTTTATTTACATCAGTGCTCATTTCCCCAGAGTTTCATAACAAGTCTCTAAAATTTGTTTGATATCAAACAATAGAAACTTTCACTGACACATTTCTCAAGGCCAGGGGTCTGTGGTCAAGGTGCTGTTAGAACCATTTCCCCTCCAAAACTTCTAGGAGCCCATCTGTCCTGGCTGCTTGTGACTTACACTACCCAAGAGATTCCTTAGCTGGTGGCTGAACTCTTACACCCCTTCGGTTTTCACATGGTCTCTTTTTGTTCATCCCTTCCCATCTGTGTCTTATAGTACACTTGCCTTTGGATTTCAGAAAAACCTATATAAACCTGAATCCTTTCAAAAAAAATTTTTTTTTAAAAAATTATTAGTTCTAGTTGGGGAACAAGCTTGTTTCACATGTAAGTGAAATTCTTAATGTATTTACCTCTTACTATTTTTCAGTCAAAGAAAGTAACACTACAGGTTTCAGAGATTCTGACATGAGTTCGTCTTTTGGGTGCACAGTGTAATCACCTATACTGCTCAAGTTTCAGTCTGTGATATTTGAAATATTTACAAATATTTTAATTATGAAAGATTTATGATTGCCTAATTATTTTGAAACAAACTTTGCTTCAGTTTATAAAAACTGTCATTGGGTAGCCTTGATATTTTCACTAATTATATTGATAGCTATATTAATTAATTTGTAAATGTTAATTAACAATTTGGGTGGTTATTCTTTTTTCTTTAAAGACAGGGCTTGCTATACAGTGCATTCTGGCCTAGAACTCTCAGTCCACTTGCTTCAAACCCAGTATGTGTAGATGAAAGTTTCTGTCCCGCCTGCTCCTGCAGCCATTAAGCCCCAAATAAACACACTGAGGCATATATTAATTGTAAACCTTTTGGCCAATTGCTGGAAGTTTATTACTAACAAACTCTTACAACTTAAATTAACCCATAATTCTTATCTATGTTTATTCACATGGCTTGGTATCTTTTCTCAGTAAAGCATTCTCATCTTGCTTCCTCTGCATCTGCCTGGAGACTGCTTCTTGGCCTTTCGTCTTCCCAGAATTCTCCTAGTTTGGTCGTCCTGCCTATACTTCCTGCCTGGTTACTGGCCAGTCATCATTTTATGAAACCAATCTGAGTGACAAATACTTACAGTGATCAAGAATATTATTCCACATCAAGGGTGCCTGAATTATAGCCATACACCACCATACTTAGTTCATTTGTTAAATATATCTACATGAGATGCATTTTTGCATTAGTCTGTTTTCTTGTATTTCCTATTTTAACCATTAAGCATAGCTAGTATAAGAGATAAAGGAAATTCTAGTTATATTACAACCTCAAGCATTTGCTAATATGCTTCATAGATAACTTGGGCTGACAAAACTGTCCTTTCCCAACATGTGGACTGAATACCACGGTTTTCACTCATTTTCATGTACTGGGTATGTTAATCTTGCTGTGTTTTTTTCTTAGTGTCTCCAAAAAGCTGTTTATTTCCTTATGTAACAATATATATTTTTAAAATTGTACAAGTGTCATTTAAATGTTTTTTTAGATTAAAAATTCTGATTAGTTGTCTTTTACATTTTCTATCTTATAAGTAATACACTGCTGAAGCTTCCATTTACAATCTTTTCAAATGTTAGGAATTTATAACAATTATGTCTGTAGTGATCCATTTATTGTACAACCCCAAACCATAAACTATCTCTATTTTATGTTGTGAATTCTTAATCTGTTTACTAAGATGTATAGAAATCATGATGTACTTTCATTTTGATTTAAAAATGATAGGGAACACTCATAATAATATTTGAATGAGCAAAACTGTATCTTGCAAGTTTATATGAAATTATGATGTATTCCATTTTGCTGGCATCAATTTTCTGATCAGTTCTCTCTGAAATCTTATTATTAAAATGCAAGAGTTAGCAAAAGGAAAGTGTTCCTTACACAACGAGATGATGCTTTTCTTTATCCTTTAACATTAATGTCTGGACTTGTGGCATCCATATTTAATATCACTTTTCTTTATAACTCCAATTATTTTGCTGTAATAGAAACATTTGGCTTCCACTTTTAAAATATTAAGTGATGCTTACAAAATCAAAGAGAGCCTTAAGTGTTTTTTCTATATAGAAGCTAAGACATTATAATATGCAGTATTTCATGAAAATTTAATTTGGCTGCTAAATCTAAGTAGTTGAAGACATATAGTTAAACACTCATTTATTCAATGTCTTAGGAGAGAAATAAGCCAGGCAGAAAAGATACCAAATGTTATAAAAAATAACAGTTGTCTCACAACATAAGATTTAGCACAAAGTAGAATACTTTTATAATTAAACATTACACAAAAATAGTTTGCAAGTTTTTATTTATTGATAGAATAATTTCAGTACTCACTTTGATCTTGTCATCTTTTGCCATTTTAAAGGTAGTATTTACTTTTAACATGCCTTGTGTATTTTGTTTATAAAACCTTACATGAAATACTGGTCGACTGATGATTTTTCCTGTTTTGTTCCCACATACTAATGCTAAAAAATAATTTAAAACAACAAATCTTAATATTAAGAATTTTTCAATAGTGTATTTTAAAATAGGGTAGTTATCTATTCTTATCAGAGCAGACATACTTGTTTGTGGAACACATGCCATTTAGATACCAGATTGTACTGACACTTTGAATTCAGAGTCACATAGCAGCTAAAAGATATGACTTCCTCAGACTCTGAAGACACAGAAAGCAAAGGTTCAGAATCCTTTAAGGTTGTAATATGCAATTTTCTTCTCCACTTTAAACATATATCATTGGTTCTCAAGCGAATCATAAGCTACCTCTCTAGTCAACACAAAATATATTGAAAATCAAATCATACAAACAATATTGCATGTTCTTTGGATCATCATTTGACCCTGTGGTGAAATGGGAGACCACAAAATTTTCTTGACTAGCTTGCTTTGTAAATACGAAATATTTGCTACATTCAAATGGCACCGGGCTTGCAACTTTCTGGATGCTGGTTTACAGGTGACTGTTCTTATTGTCCAACTTCCAACTTTTCTCCATTATTAAGTATGTGTCAATTGGAGAGTCCAGAGCTATGGTTTCTAGATCCCTATCTGAGAGATTTTCAGTATCAGTAATTCTGGAGTGCTACTCACAATTTGCATTTTTAAAAGCATTGCACTTTATTTTGATATGTACTGATTATTTATCACTTGGGGCATTGCTCTGGGGAACAATTATATGCAAAGAAGTTGATTTCAAAACATAAAGACAAAAACTCAAACAATGTTGTTGCTATATACCCCTTAATGCATGAAGATGTGTATAGAATTTAAGAGTGCTCCTCTCTCAGCAAGGCATTTTATACATTATTGAATTTCAACCATACAATGGTTTAAATAAGAAATATAGATTTTCAAAAAATATATAGATTTCTTTTTTTGGAAACTCATTCCACTCCATTTTTATAGAAATATTTAAAGAATTGTGAGAAAAAGATTTGAAATTCTATCTTATCTATTTCTTTACTTAATAGAATCATAAAGCTGGTTGGATAGTGGTCAAAGAAATGTCTGAGAAGATGAAAGACTGGGCATATGCCCAAGATGAAATGGGGGGTCGTTATTTTGGGAGTTAAGTTGTATTTCATAACTAAAATATATCCATTGATATTAAGTGCACTCTGGGCTTTTTACATTTTTAAGCAATCATTGTTTATTACCCATGTTTCTATATTGGTGAGCCCTGAATTTATTTTTTTCAATGTCTTATAAATTTCAATGTATTAAGATATATTAATAGTAGTCCATTGCCCCTCTTTTGCAACAGAAAAATGGACTCAAAGTGGACAAGATATACCTTCGGTTTGTTTGCATGGTAGTTCGGAGGCATAAGATGTGAATTAAGGTCTTTGGGATTCCAAACACAGGGATTTATGTCTTTTTCAACAACAGAGTTAGAAAAATGTAAAGGAAGCTTTTCAGGGTATTGATATACAGTTTAAAAATAAAAGTTTCTAGAGACCCACAGACAAACATTAGGCTGAATTTGGGGATTCGTAAGGAAGAAGTAGAAGAAAGATTGTAGGAGCCAGAGAAGTCCAGGACACCTAAAGAATTAGCTAAGCAGGACTCACAGAGACTGAAGGGAGCCTGCACAGATCTGAGCTAGGTCCTCTGCATTTTTGTTGTGATTGCATAGCTTAGTGTTATTGTAGGACTCCTAACAATGGGAGGGGGGTTGTCTCGGACTCTTATTTTCTGATTTTGAGACCCTTTTTCTCCTACTGGGTTGCCCTGTCCAGTCTTGATATGAGTGTGCATGCCTAATCTTGCCACTAGCTATGCTGTGTTTGCCTGATAACCTTGAGAGGTCTGCTCTTTTCTGAGGGAAACAGAGGAGGAGTAGATCTGGGGAAGAGGGTAAGGCATAATAAAATTTAAAACTTGTTTTAATTTGTAACTGCCCTTTATAAAAATATGATTTTTTTCTTTAGAGTTTGAGTGACTGTATGGACTATCAAAGTTTATTTCTCATAAAATATCCGTTAACTTCTATTTAATAATAATAACTATGTTGAATACTGTATTATTTTAAATTTTAAATTTAAATACTAAAATAGCTTTTATCAATTCATGCTTCCAGGATTTCAGACATCACTGTAAGTTCACTTTCAAATGCAAGAAGAGATCTTGTGGAATGACTTAACAACAATTATCTTTAAAGATTGTATATTTTTATTATGAGCTTCCGAAGCAAACACACACATTTTATTTAATACTACCTTTTCTGACCAAATCAATGTTTTCCAAAATAATTGGAACTTGTGGCATGTAAATTGAAAAATACCATATTCATTGTTGATTATTTTTATTCTTTCAGGGCTCCACTGGATTTCCTGGATTTCCAGGTGCCAACGGGGAGAAAGGTGCCCGGGTATGGAGCATAAGTATATTGTCCAGAGATGGCTAGTGAACATATCCCTACATGAGCCCCTGTTTCTCACCCCCATTTACTATGACATATTTACCACACATTGAAACTCTGTGAACTGTCTTTGTCAGGGAGTTGCTGGCAAACCAGGCCCCCGCGGTCAACGTGGTCCAACGGTAGGTACTTTGTTTTACTATAGTGATTTCCATTGTGTTATTAGTTTTTCACATTTGTTTTTGAATTTGCTTTACACTAGGTAAATTTTCTCTTCCCTTATGCAGGGTCCTCGAGGTTCCAGAGGTGCCAGAGGTCCTACAGGGAAACCTGGGCCAAAGGTATCATCCAACTTTACTATGATTTGTGTTGCAAATCCTTGTTGATGAAAGCAATGATGTGAGGAAGAATGAAATTTGACTTTCTTTTCACTCTCTTTTCTTTTTTTCTTTTTTTTTTCTTTTTTTTTTTTTTTGTTTCCAGGGTACTTCAGGCGGTGATGGCCCTCCTGGCCCTCCAGGTGAAAGAGTACGTATCACACAGCTGAATAATACACAATGAAAATCAATACTTTTGTAAGCATTTAAATTCTGAAAAAGGGTGACTAAAGACACTGTACATATCCATATACAGATTCCAGTCTGAGTTAAGAAATTCTTACTTTTTAGAATTTCTTTCCTCTGCTAAGTTAAAAGCTTGCTAGGTGAGGTACAAATAATATTATAGAAATGAGAGAAATGGTGTGTATAATTGCCCTGAGTTGTAACACTTATTCCAACCAAAATACAGTTTTTATTTGAAACATACTCCGATCACTATGCTTTCTCTTGTTTTCTATATTGGTACTCAGTTTGTCAATGGACCTGACAGTAACATTATGTTGGTAAAATGCAAGTACCAGAAGCCATTAAATCACAATCAATATGCATCCAAGGCAAGATAAAACATCTATTCCAGTAAATAAAAAACTATTTAGTAAATTGATTTTCAATTGATATAAAATAAAGCCAGATACAGATGAGCAACCAAGACCTTTGTTTGGCTGTTTTGGCAAGAGGCACCAAGCATTATTGGAAAGCAATGGTCTTGAAATAATTTTAAATTTTGTTTCTCATCCAATGGAATTATAATCAGCTTTAGTTTTCTATGATGATTCCAGTTATTTTTAAATTATGCTTCTGTCATTTTGTAGATCATTTGTGTGTAAGATATGTAAGTGTGTGTGTGTGTGTGTGTGTGTGTGTGTGTGTGTGTGTGTGTGTATTCAGAATAGAGCACCACTGTGTGTTAATGAAGCCACATGTGTGGAGGTCAGAGTACAACCTCTACTATGGGTTCTTGTTTTCTACTACTTTTTTTTGAGATGTGATCTTTTTATTGTATTTCTGCTCTGTGTGACAGGCTATTTGGCCTAGGTGATTCCAAGGATTCATCTCTCTGTGCCTTCCATCTACTCATGGGAACAGTGAGATTACATATGCAGACTTATGGGTTCCTTTTTAAATAAGGTTTCTGAGTTTCAAATGTAGGTCTTTGTGCTTGAGCCATCTCTTCAGCCCATATTTTTTTGTATATTTTTATTTGAAACTTTCAAGTTGATGTTTCACAAAGGGAACACAGAAACACTTGTGATAGATAACTGGAAACTGAGCATGAAAGTTTGAGAGATGGTTCAGCCTTAAAGGCTAGGCTCACAACCAAAAATGTAAGAGAGTTTGAATTCCTGAATAAAATGTGCAGTGAAATTTAGTTTCTATTTATAAAAATATAGGAGTAGGATTAGAAGAAAAGAATAAGCATTTAATTAAAGTTTCTTTATCGCCTGATTAATATTTAACTAAATTACTACATTTTTTCTCTAGATGAACTATTCATAAATTAAGTCCATTCATTTTGTACATTTTGAATTCATAAATAACATATATATTTGATATATTTTATAGTTCAAGTAATGTTCATAAAAAGATATAGTGGATTTAAATGGTTGAATCATTAAATGAATAGGACAATTTAGCAAACCATCGAACAGCTAAATTTTATCATGAGTTTTATCATGCTTTAAAGCACCTATGAGAGTCCATCTTGATTTATAAGATAGCATGATTAAACAATCAGAGTCCTTGGGGAAAGACATCAAGAGGGAGACTGTACATTCTGAATATCAGAATGAAGCATGTTTTGTTTGTTTGCTTTGCTTTTCTTTTTTCTGTTTTTATCCTAGAATGGCTCATTTCCAATAAAGTCATCCAACTATCCATTTTCTACATAGGAGGAAATATTTATTGCTCTTGTTTGTGGTAAATGGCATACATATCCATATTATCTCCCCATTTACTGGCAGAGATTCTAAATGTTATTCATGCTTTTACTTTATTACATTTTACTTTAGTTTTTAATTAGCATGTAAAGTATCAGACGTCTTTATGACATTTCAAAACATAGTTTGTTTTTGTTGACCTCACCATCTTTATCCACATCTCCCTATTCCTCCCATGTTCCTTTCCACACAGAGTAGCATTTTCTTTGTCTCTTTGTGTGTGTCACAAGCATCGTGCAACACATTCTTCAACTCCTCTTTTTCACCTGATATGTCCCCAAGTGGCCATGAATTATTAATTCTTCAATGTTTGGCAATTTCATAACAGTTTTCAAAGTACATGAATACACTAAAGTTTCCTTTTTATTTTAAGATAGATTCTGGCAAGAGCAAAGGGTCGTATTTATTTGTCATGTAGCATTGGATTAGAATGGTAATAAAATTTTTTCTTATGAAGCCAAAGCTGATAATGTAAAAAGTAAAGAATCTTGAAGACCCACTTCAGTAAGCTAATTTTTTTGGCTTTGGAAACAGTAAATTTAATATTTGTTTTATTATATAGGACATTTCATATGTATTTGTCATATTCTATATGTCTTCATTTCGTAGATGTAATTATGTTCTTGTCAAGTATGGGCTAAACTTTTGCTGATTCATTTTTTGATACCAAAACAATCAGTATGACTGGATGTACTTTATGCATTTAAAGATATGTAAATAAGAACATGAATAATATAACTAATTATGTATAAAGATAGGAATGGTATTATAAATGCACATTGGGGTAGAATGTTAATAAGAATAATTATGAAGTAAAGTTCATCTTGTCTACAAAAGAGTCTAACGCAGAGAGCAGAGCTGGCAAATGACAGAATTATTGCCACAGCTTATTTGATAAGGATAAAGCTATGTGATGCTTTAGCAATGATCTCATATGCTCCTGTTAGCTGTATATTACTAGTGACATAACACTCTCAGAGTCTATTGTGGCTTTCATTTTGGAGGTCTATTGAACCTATTTTAATGTCTTCCTCCAAAATGTTTCCAGCCAATACTGAAGGTGTGAATATTGTGAAACCTCTCAATAGAGATGGATATGCTGTTTTATATTTAATGATTTTAATTAATAAAATTTGTCCTTAGACAAGTTCATATCGATACACAAGGTACTAACTACTGTTACGTTAACTCTTTCTGCCAAAAGCCCCTGAGCCCCACCGCCACGTGTGAGCTTTACACTAGCTGCCTGCCCGAGTTAGGCCCAAATAAATTCACAGAAACTTGTATTAGGTTTAAAGCTGCTTGGCCAATGATTAGAATTCCTCATCTGTTAGCTCAGTCTTAATTATCATAAATCTATACATTTTATATTGGTAATTTCCCACTAGAGATCACTCTCCCACCATTCTCTTCCCTTCTCCCTCTTAGCACCTTTCATCACCCCCATTCTCCCCACAGGCCTCTCTCTCAATTTCATGTCTATGTTTTATTTTGTAACTCACTGACATTAACTAGGGTATCTGTGTGACCCTTGGTTTAGAGCTGTCTGTTTTAGCCCAGTGGCTCATCCAAGGGTGCAATGTAAAGACAGCCCATCCCAATCTTCCAGATTCTATCAATAGGCAATAGTTCAGTAGTAAATGATAGAATCACCCCATGAGCCCAACCACCTTTCAGGACTGATGGTTGACAAGGCCAGGGATGTGTGTTTATTAGTAATTGATGTGTTTGTGATGAGTCTACTTCCTGTCCTCTCTAATATTACCTGAGCCATTGAGGGGTGTATAAATGTCTTGTTTGGGACTTTATTAGCATTTTATATGAGCTCTAAATATTCACAGTGATTTTGAGGTAAGAGCATTGATGTGCACTTTCACATGGTTAAAAATTATTTGGCTCCTAGTTGACTAAGATAGGAGAAATTTGTTTTTCCAGTGTTTTGTCTGAAGAAACAAACTGAAAAGTCTCAAGATATATTATTAAAACTTTATTGTTCAATGTTCTCCACTGCTTTTTATTCTCAGGGCCCTCAAGGACCTCAGGGTCCAGTTGGATTCCCTGGACCAAAAGGACCCCCTGTGAGTGTAACACATTCTCTTTTGCTTTATTTGATAATATTTTTATTGCTTGACAGTCGTAATTTACACTTTTACACTTTCTCTTTTTTTTAAAGTTTATTTTCTTTTACACCCTGACTGTAGTTCCCCTCTGTCCCTTTTTCCAGTTCTCACCCCCTTCAACCTCCCTCACCGCCTGATCCACTTTTCTTCTGTTTCTGTTCAGAATGGGGTAGGCCTCCATGGGTATCAACAAAGCATGGCATATCCATTTGTGGTTAGACTAAGCTCCTCCCCTTATATTAAGCTGGACAAGGCAACCCAGTGTGAGTAGAAACGTTACCCCCAAAGAGCCAAACATTAGGGACAGTCCTTGCTCCCACTGTTTGGACTCCCACCAGTAAATCAAGCTATACAACTGTCACATATATGTAGAGGGCTTAGCTCAGTCACACGCAGGCTCTCTAGTTGTATTGTTGGTTCAGACTCTGAGAGTTCCTATGAGCCCAGATTAGTTGTTTCATGTGATGTCCTTGCTTTTAAATGTAAATATTTTATGAAACCCTCATAAAATAAAATTTGATTTAAATATTACAGAATACATTTTCATGTATGATTTTGGAACATAGTTTAAATGTCTCTTGTTAAGCAATATCTTAAATAAAAACTAGACTAGTTTAATTGTTATTTCTCAGTCATTTTTACAATCAGTATAGTTTATGAAATTGAAAGTAATTGCTAAATAGGACATACAAGATATGCTTGAATTTTCTTGTTATCTTCTGAAATCAAGTGGAATCTTCCATGCCTCTTCAGGGATCACTTCCTAAACCCCTTCCAACATTCTGATGCTTCAAAATCACATAAAATTTATTTATTTATTTATTTATTTATTTATTGTCACTCTTTTATTTCTATAAAATTTTGCTTTTGAATTTCTCAAAATTCAAAACATGTGTATCCCTGCATGTCCTGAGCATACTATATAGACCCAGCTGTCCTCTAATTCAAAACTATCTGTTTACTGAATGCTAAGATTAAAGTCATGTGCTACCATGCCTGGCTGCAGTAGATCCTTAGAACGTTTTATAAAATCTTCTTAGTCCAGCACTACGTTGGATGTTATCCTTATTAATCCCCACAAAGTTACTGAAAATACTTTTTTAAACCTTAAATTCTTAAGGAAATGTCAGGTAGGATAAGTTCACTTGTTTTCTGTCTGTCTCTGACTCTGTCTCTGTCTCTCTCTCGCTCTCTCTCTCCCTGTGAGTTATAATGAATTTACACTCTTGTTTGGTGCAGAAGCTCTAAAATATACTCTGTCCCCAGCAGTAGCAACACTTGGGGCGTTGTTCAAGATGTAATCTACTTAATAAAGCCTCCAGAGAAAGATCCCAGCCATGGTTTAACAGACCTTCCACACTGTCTGAACAATGCTAATGTTTTGAACTGTTACTGTAATCTAGGCTAAACAGTCATCCTTAGATTTTTATCATTTACATAAGTTGTTCTGATAAATTACTCAGCTTGAAATACCAGCATGAATGAAATGTTGAATACAAGCGCCTTATCTGAAGATTTGCAGTAATTTTTTATGGTGTTTAGAGTGTTCTAAAACTAAACAATTCTGTTTGTCACTTTAAACATATCAAGAAACATTTCATCTGTCCTCATAGGTGAAGAACAGGTCAGGTAGCTGACATGAAAATAGAACATTACTTCGGTCTCTATGTAAATTTTTTTACATACTATCTATATGTTGTTTAAATGAAAACAGTAAACTTCTATGTAAAGTTTCATATCCAAGTGAAATCATAATTTCTAAATTGATACATGCATTTATTTATGATAATTTCCATAAGTGTTTTTGATATCATGTATTTCCATCATTTTCCCAAATTAGTACAACAAAGTATACAATATTTTCATAACTTTTTACTCCTTTTCAATGTTACAAACTGCTTCCTTGTGTAATATAATCTTGTTGAACAAATTTATTGGACTCATTTTATTCAGATCTTTACAGCATTCTCTTTCATGTGTTTTTCAGTAAGCTTTGGATAATTGATCATGCACTCATGTCTTTTACTATGAGGCATTGGAGACAGTAATGATCTACAATTGAGAAGAGAACCTTTGAGAGTTGATTTGAGAAATGTCACTTTAAGGAAAATTATTATCTACTATTTTCTGACAAATAAAATTAGTAAAGCTTGAAATAAAACTATCTTCCATTTTCCTGACATTATTTGGCAAAAAGAAGACTGTATTTTTTGTGACAGATATATAGTATTGAAATTCAGAGATAGAAATAATTTTCTCCAATTGATTATTACAACTTGCATTAAAATATTATGCAAACACACACATACATTGGCCTTGGATTGTTTCATTTGTAATCCATAGATCTCATGTCAATTTTAGACTGTTGTTTGCTGCTTTTTGAGGTTTGTGTTTGCATGGTCATTCCCTCCTTCCCCCCTTCCCTCCCCCCCCCCCCCCCCCCCCCTTCTTTTTTTTTTTTTTTTTTTTTCTCTTTTTTTTTTTTTTTTTTTTTCTTTCTTTTTTTTTTTCTTTTTTTTTTTTTGTCTGTCTGTCTGTCTGTATACATGTATGTATATATTTCTATATGTGGTCTCCACACTCTAATGGAGTCTCTCCCGCATTCCCGGCTTTCCCTCATGTCTCTGTCCCCCAAATATCAGAATTCCAGTCTAAGAATCAACCAAACATAGCTGTATAGTGTCAATGTTACATATTTTAGTGCTGTATAGTTATATAATTTAAGAACAAATATTAAAATTTATAGCATGACTATCATGAGGAAATTCTCAGGGTCATTTAGAAAGAAGCAAACATCTCTAAGCATTTGCTTGTCTCATCACAGAAGCCCATAGTGAATATGTGAGTTTTTGTGGAGATGACTTTGCCTCTTCATTCATCTTCCAACCCTGTTGAGGGAGCTGCCTCCTTTGATGAATAAAATAATTACTTTAAAATTAGTGTTTGAACCTGCTGGGAAATTCGTTGGCTTTGTTTTATTGATTAGTAATGTGGATTAAAAACAGTAAATCCAGACTAGTTACATAATTCTGAAATTTAAACTTAAGGAAAGCCTGATGCTGTTGCTTTTGGCCCATTAACTCTATTCCTCAGATTGTCTAGGAACTCCATTAAAAGTCAGGACGTGTTCATTCCAATTTAGCATCTTTTAGATCTACGATCATCATTTCAAAGGATGATCATTTTAGTAACTGCAGTATAATTTGTGCTAGTAAGGAGCGGGATGCTTATTGTTTACACCATGGGTTTGTTAGAAACATTTGTAGGTCTTGCATTGATCACTATGCACATATTTGATGGCATTTCAGTGTCCTAAAGGAAGAAGCCAGGTACATGTGTAATCCTTCATCTAACATCCTATTAGTCTGAAAACTTTATAATGGCTTCAGACTTGTAACATGTTTGCTCCATCTCTGTTAAAACAGTAGCAGTATAGGAAGCTTTGTTTGCTGGTTTGCAAAGGTGTGTATAGACCAGTTTACCAGCAATTAACTCTGTGTATCTTTGTCTCTCTAGGCTTTGGGTAAAGCTGCATATTTCATTACTATACACCTAATGGCTCATGCAAAGATAATTGGCATATGGTTTTAAATAAAATAAGTTATTTTACAGCATGCTTTGGATATTTTATCAATAACTCCTAATGTTGCCTTTGTGGGGGAGGATGACAGTGGAATCACAACAATGATCTTGGACAAAAAGAAAATAAAAACATTCAGGTAGCCTTATTTATTTGAACTGTTGTAATCATAATTTTTAAATAAAGCCTGATAATTCACACAGCATCCTGTGTGTTGAAATGGATGGATCAGATAGAAGACATGGTGCAGGACATTGCCAGAAGCAGTCAGGAAGCATGCCAGCGACCCTAGAAATCTCATCAACATGAAAGATACTCACGGAAGTCTTCTTGTTTGAATCAAAGACTTTCGTTCAACCTGGATCCATATTAGCATATATAAAAATAGACTCTTGAAATCAACATTATTTAAATAATTACCAGTAGTGAGGGTTGATGTTCCAGTCATAAAAATACCTTGATTAAAATGTCTATCCATCTTCATTTCTTTAGAATAGAAGGTTTGTATAAACCTATTAAATATGCTTTGAAAAATGAACTGGTGTTGAATAGCTTCTTAGAAGTGTAAATTATAAGACTGTTGAAAGAACTAGTCAATCTCAGTTAAGTTTTTAGAATATGGAAACCTTAGACAGTTGCTTTTGATAAATACTTAATTGCTTCATTTATTTCTTCAGACATGGAAAACAGCCCCCTTGCAGAAAGCAGTAATGTAGTAAAGATTTCCCTACTATTTCATAAGTATTTTGCTTCTTGGAGAACATGTCAGGAAACTTAAAGAAACAACTGTTCTTGATGACTTCTAAAATGGAACTGTTTTTCCATTTGCTTGAAGCAGTTTTACAGATTAGCATTTCTTTCTCATTTTTTGTCAGAAATTCGATGACCGCTAGAGGGCACTCGCTTTCTCTTTTACCCACATTTTATTTCCTTGGAATTGAGTTGCGAAGGATCTATCTCTAAAGTAGGAAACAGGGAAAGCACATTTTGTTTTCAAGCACTGAAAAACTAATGTTTTGTTAAAGTAAAACTATGAGCTTATGCTTATATATTTGAAAATACAAAGGCATTTGAAAAAAATTCATTGAAATACCTAGTGCCCTGAATAGTTTTACAGATTTCCCATTGTCTCTGTTTTTCATTAAGGAGTCAATTCACAAACAAGTATACATAAAATCAGCCAAATATCACCTTTTATAAAAATAAAATCATTAAAATGAAATGTGCTATGGAATGCAAGATGGTGTTTTCCACAATACCCTTGAGCTATAACATCATGTGAGAAGTATTTATGACATGGTATTATAATGTTTTTTTGTTTGTTTTTGTTGTTTTGTTTTGTTTTGTTTTATCCCAGGGCCCCGCTGGGAAGGACGGACTACCAGGACACCCTGGGCAGCGTGGAGAGACTGTAAGTGACTAGTTTTTTCTTTTTATTTTTTATTTTTTATTTTTTATAATGAAATTTGCTCTCAGACAACACAATTCACAAAGAAAACCTGTGTTATTTTTAACAGTGAAATTACTGGTTTAAAACTAGTGGAGTGAATTTCTTTCTTTCTTTCTTTCTTTTTTTTGCTGTACTGTGGCATGATCAAATTTATTTAATTTGTAGTATCTCACTCAGTCTTATTTTATTCTACTTATGCCCACTGTAATTAACTTTTTCCTTTTCATTTTTTCTTTCTTTTTTCCTTTTATTGAAGAAAAATTATTTGCTCATACAATATATCTTAGAGTTTCCCATCCCTTTATTCCTCTCAGTTCCTTCCTACCCCCTCCTCTCCAGGATCCGTTCCCTTTCTGTTTCTCACTAGTAAAGAACCAGCTACTTAAAGACCACAACCAAACACTATAAAATAAAACATGATAAGATAAAGCAAGAACTATCACATTGACGTTTGACACAGCAACCTAACAGAAGTAAGAGAGTCCCAAGAGCAGGACAGGAGTCAGAGACCCACCCATTATCACAGCTGGAGTCCCATAAAAATACTAAGCTAGTAGCTATAACACATACCCACAGGACCTGGTGCAGACCCATGATGGCCCTGTGCTTGCTATAAGCTCATATGTGCTTTCCTTAGCTGAGTCATGCATGGGCCCTTGTCCTCCTGGTGTCCTCCAGCCCCTCTGGCTCTTACAATATCTGTAGCCTTCCCTGAGTATTGAGATGAGGGATTTGGTAGAGATCTCCCATTTTAGATTCTCTTTTTACGCGATGTATGGCTGTGGGTCTCTGCATCTGTTCCCATATGCTGCCATTGAGCCTTTTATTAAAATATTTTAGCAAATGCATAAATAGACACAAGTGTTAGCCTTTTCAGGTTCACCTGAAAAAATAAGATGCTTGTTAACATGATTCTTCTTGTTACAACCAGCCTTTTAAGAATGATCTGAGAGAGATGATGTCATAGCTGGGATACTCTCTACAATATGCCACCTAGAGTCATCCCCTACAGACTGTTTATAGCTACACCTCACCTAACCACTCAGTGCTCATTGATGTCAGGAAATTATGTTATTAGAAGCCACATACATAAACTAATATTCTAACAGTCTTAGGGGATGAGATATTTTCTGAAATGGCATCTGGAAGGAAACAATTGACTTGACAGTAAACTTTATGTCTAATAGGAAATGTAGGTTGAAAATTGTAACTTGATTTTTAAAATGTCAGTGGGAAATACTACCATAACCTGATTGAACAGCTCACCCTATGTTGGAATTCATGGGTGAGGGAAATGAAGCTCCCCTGGTGTGCTGTTGTGTTTGTTTATTTGCTTATTTTGCTTCTCTTAAGCTCCACATCTGTCTAACTCAGTGGGTTGTTATTTTAATCAGAAATCCTCACTGCTGGCCATGATTCCTTGGAGTCAATCATTGGATCTCACAGTTAGTTAATTTTATTCACTTTTCTTGAGGAAACCAGGACATAAACTACCTTTGACAATTTTATTGAAAACCCCATTTACTGCATGCATTCTGCTAGCATTAACACATTGAGAATTGCATGGCAATACCTCATCACACATGCTGAACTGTTTATAAATTTTCTGCAATGGGAAAAGCAATCCATCAGTAGTAATGTGATTCCTGTCTTGCTCACCATTTTACAATTCTTGGCTTATCAAATATTAATTTTAGCTGAAATTTTCAGTGTAAATTTTCCAAAAGCAAATCAAGAAATACATAGTGGGACCAAAAAATCAAATTTACTCTTGGAATGGTATATCCAGAGGAAGAACAATAATCTTTAAAAATAACTTACACTCAAATCTGCAAAGACATTCTCATTCAAATCGTGCAACCCACATTTTTATCAAAGTTCTGGCAATCCAGAGAATAATCCCAGCATACTTCTAATGTGTCTTTTGAAGAATCAATAATGAGAGAATTAATAATTAAGAGTTTCCTCATTTCTAAATTTAATCAAAAGTGGGAGATTGAAGATGATGAAAATATGTTGTATGGAATTCTCTAAAGAATTAATTTTAAATATACTTTCTGGCAAAGAACCCATATCATAAAACATTAAAATGTAAAACAAGAGGAAAAGTAATTTGTTAGCTAGAGCTTCTGGGAAGTGTCTATCTAGTAGTTTCTCATAGATGGACAGTTAGTTTTTGAAAACTGTGTTATGATTTCTACAGTTAAGAGAACAGTTAACAACCCTATAGATAGAAATTAACTGTTTTCTGTTATGATAAATCTTTCTGCCAAAAGCCACCAAGCCCCACCGCCACGTTTACACTTTACGCAAGCTGCCCACCCGAGTTAGGCCCAAATGAATACACAGAAACTTGTATTAGGTTCAATGCTGCTTGGCCAATGACTAGGATTCCTCATCTGTTAGCTCAGTCTTAATTATCATACATCTATATATGTTATTAGACTTATCTTATTGGACGCCTTGTTGGCGTCCCTCCTGGTCGGTGGATCATATCCTGCTGCTGGAGCAGGAGCAGAGGGGAAAAGAAGGCCCTTCCTGTTTCTCCTTCGCTTAAATATGAGTCTCCTTGCTATGTCACTTCCTGCCTGGATCAGCAGGTCTCTACTACATTTCGCAGAATCCTCTTTGACTCCTAGTCCCGTCTACTTGCTGTCTCATTGGCCAAACAGTATTTTATTTAACAATCAGTAAGATAAACATATACAGTACATCCCCATCAGTTTTCTTTCAACTTTTTTTCTGTGTTGACTAGAATTCAAAGATTCCCTTTAAAAGATCACAAAATTATTGTGGATATACTTTGTAATATATGTGTTTCCTTATTTCAAAGAAGAAATGATTTACTTACATTTGAAACTCATCTCCAGTCAAAATTCTTCAGAATAAATTTTGATGTCTTATTTTGAAGCCTTTTTGTTGTTGTTGGGGTGAGTGTCCAATAAAAACTAAACTATTAATGGTTTTTATATCTTGAAAATATACAAATTCATGTGAGGGCTGTAGGGAAAGCTGTAGCCAGCCCCTAAGAAGGCTACAGAGGGCCACTGTAGAATCCAGTATTAACCATAAAATGAATTAAGTTCATTTTGACATCACAATGGAAACTATATTTTGTTGGGCATTGCAACAAATTCTCCAATCACTCTTTAATGTATGAAGTTAATTTCTGTTCCCATAGACTTAAGTACTACCTTAATGTAAAATATTCCAAAATTAAAACAAATGCAGTTTTATAGTGTGGCATGCTGAAGTAAGAAAATTCCACTCTGGGTTATAATAATTTTCTTTATTTTATTTATATAATTCTGATGTCAAATCCATTAGATATTTACACTTGCTCTGGATATTTTGTATGGGCAGGCATATGGACAGTACTATCTTCCAGCTCTCTCCAAAACCATCATTTATACTATTGAGCTAGCAGCCATGTGGCTCATTGTATGCAAGTTTTCAGTTCTCTACTTTTTTCTTCAGTGGAGCATTGACTTTAATCAGGTCATTGTAATAAGTTGATAATCGATTAATTCTGTGTACTATCCATGTTCCTGCAGTTATTAAGACAAAGCCTTCATAAAATGTTATGTGTTTTAAAGGCCAGAATTGCATATTTTCCCTCCAAATCAAACTTAATTGATCAGAAAGCAATGCTGGCCTCAGGAATGTGTAAATTCAAACAGGTGTTTATGGCTGTTTAAGAGCGAGAGATGCAAGATCAGTGTATTTCAAACCTATGACCACTTTCAAAACAAAGTCACACTGTAGTAGCTGCCTAAACTGTGGAATGTTTTTACTGATGTGGGTTGATACATGTAGAGAATCTCGTTGAATAGATTAGATGGATTGAGGTGATGGTTCTGGGTAATGTGCACAAGTGAGTGAACCTGATATATATAATGTCAGAAGTTATCAAGGACGAATTGGCTATAGCTTGAATGTCTACTGGCGAAGTCGACAGAAGGTTGCATGTTAAATACTTTCTCACATGATGCAATGCACTTTATGTGAGATTGAAAGAACGCTAGGAAATGAAGGGGTTTTGTGTTCTTTTGTTTTTTTCTTTTTTCTTTTTTTTTCAATTTTTTTTATTTGAATTAGAAACAGAATTGTTTTACATGACAATCCCAGTTCCCTTCTCCCTCCTGTCCTCCCCTACCCCTCCTCAACTAAAACCCTATCTATCACATATCCTTTCTGCTCCCCCTGGATGGTGAGGCCTTCCATAGGGTGTCATCAGAGTCTATGGTAGCCTTTGGGATAGGGTCTAGGCCCACCCCCGTGTGTCTTGGCTCAGGGAGTATTCCTATGTGTGGAATGGACTCCCAAAGTCCACACCTATGCTAGGGATAAGTACTGAACTTCTACAGGTGGTCGCGTAGATTTCTGAGGTTTCCTCACAGAAACCCACCCATGTTTCTTGGGTCTGGATCAGTCCCATGCTGGTATCCCAGCTATCAGTCTG